CGTGTGTGTGTGTAAAAGTGTGGTCGGGGTGGAACGGGTGGGCCCGTGGGGAGGTTACCTGCCGTTATGGGGTCGTCGGGAATTTGGCAGAGTCGAAGTAGCGTCGAGACGCTTCCTTCATAAACTGCTTGATGGAGGGCAGATTAAGATCGCGGTGGAGATCTACGCTGCGAACGAACCACGGCGCACCGGTGGCTCGACGCAGAAACCTATTCTGAATGACCTGCAGTCTGTTGATTAAGCAGTAGGGTATGTGGGCGAATACGGGACTAGCGTAGGTCATGATGGGACGGATGCAAGCCTTGTATAATGTCAGCTTGTTGCGAAGCGACATTTTACTGTGCTTGTTAATAAAAGGATAGAGTCGCCCTAGTATAAAGGCGGCTTGGTCGCGGACACGCTTGATGTGAGGACGAAACGTTAGTTTCCTATCTAGGGTGACGCCGAGATATTTCGTTTTCGAAACCCACGGGATGTTTTGGCCGAATAGTTCGATCGGGTGATTCATAGAGTCGAATTCCCTGCTAAAGTACACTACTGCACTTTTTTCGGGATTGACTTCTATGCGCCACCGACGGAACCATTCGCCCAGTATCGTTACGGCTTTCTGAAGCCGTCTGGCTATTGTCGCACGGGACTTGGCGGATGTAAAGAGAGCCGTGTCATCGGCAAACAGCGATATTTCGACTTTTAAGTCGGAGAATTTGGGGATGTCGTTGGTGTACAACGAGTAGAGCATCGGAGAGAGGACGGCGCCCTGAGGGACGCCGGCTCGTATGGGGTGCGGGTCGGATAACGCTCCGTTTACACGGTAGCGATAAGAGCGATTCGACAGGAAATCTCGTACAATGAGTACTAGCCTGTCGGGGACACCTAACTGATGAAGCTTGTAAATCAAGCCGTTGTGCCAGACTTTATCGAAAGCCTTAGCCACATCGAAAAATAGGACGCCTGTACCGCCTTTGGGGGACTTGGTGGCGAAGTACAGAGTGTTTTTGTGAATGTGCTCCGTGATGCGGTGCACTTGATGGACGCATGAGTGTTTGGCTCGGAAGCCAAACTGCTCATTGATGAGCAGGCCTTTGGAGTATATAAACTCCTTTAGGCGGGCGAGGAGGATTCGCTCGTACAGCTTGCCTATAGCCTTGAGGAGGCTGATAGGACGATAACTGGACGGGTCGGATTTATTTTTACCGGGCTTGGGGATGCCAATGACCACGGCTTCTTTCCAGCTGTCTGGAAATATAGCGTTGGACAGCGCCGCGTTAAAAATAGCGACGAGTAATAACAAAAGTTGGGATGGCAGACTTTTGACTAATCTATTCGATATGCTGTCTGAGCCGGGTGATTTTTTGATAGGTAGTTGTTTAACTAGCGTTTTGACCTCATCAAGCGTGACTGGTGAGAGGGATTCGGTGGGCGGGGTGGACGCGATGCGTTCGACTTCGGTGTCTATCTTCTCGAGATGACCTGCCTCGACTGGGAGCGTGCTGGGGGAGCATTGGGCTTCTAAGTTGGACGCTAGACACTCAGCCTTGTCTTCGTCGAAGAAGGCTATAGTGTTGTCGGGTCGGACTAGCGGGGGCATGTCGTTTGTCTGTTGGTCGGTTTTGAGAGATTTCGCTATGCGCCAGTACGCGGTGTGGCATGGCGTTATCTCTTCTAGGAGCTTGCCCCACCGGCCGTCCCGGATCTGCGCGATGCGCTCCTTAACGCTACGCTGTAAGGCTCGCAGGCGCACCCGGTTCGGTTCGGAGGGGTAGCGATCGTACGCTCTAGTGGCTGCGTTCTTATCGCTTATTAACCTCCTTACGTCATCGGGAAGCTGTCAGCGACGGTCGTCCGTCGCCGGTACCTCCCTGGAGACAATAGAGCTCTCGTGACTTGGATCTAAATTGTTAAGACGTACTCCATCTAAGGTTTTAACTCTGGAGAGTCCAACGTAAACCTGCCCTTTATTAAATATAGAGGAGGCTATGTTGAGAAGAGGACTGCCAAAACTAAGGCCTTGTGATTTGTGGATAGTAATAGCATATGTTAAGCAAATACAGAATTGTTCTCTTTCAACGTATACATTACTTAATATCTGAAACTTGGTATTGACACGTTATAGTTCGTAAAGACGATTATGTAACAAATGCCTGACTGCCTGTTATTTATTTATTTATTTATTTATTTATTTATTTATTTTCGGAAAACCAAGGCTATTTACAAACATAGTTATAAACATAATTTATGATAACGGCCACTTATAGGTTTCCACGGATAGAAACGTAATATAAAACAAAAATTACAGTGCTAACACGAGAGGCATCTATTGAATTCTCAAGAAAACAATTTGTTACCAATGAGTTCTCATTCTCGAGTTAACTATACATTCCTACTTATAACTATACTAAAATTGTTATTAATTTTTGGTTTAAACTATTGTCTATACCATACGTATTTACTAAAATAATGTAATAATTATATAATCACAAATATATAAGTATAATTTAAGAAAGCTATGAATTTCGTAGCATAAATCGCAACCTTATAGGTTAGATATCGTGAAACAAAACATTGAGTTTTATCGCACCGCTCCCACACGGCGCCGCCGCGGCGCCCTATACCGAAATGCCTATTATTTAATAATTATTTATAAAAATAATGATTTTACACTATCGATGTGCGCTAAATATTGAAACAATAATTAATACCAAATCTCAGTTAATAACATAATAAATACGAAATTCGACTATACTCCTAGTTATAAGTACGAGTATATTTTAGACAGAATCTAAATTATAGCAACTAGTGTTTACCGCTCAATGCAATATTTGAAGTTTGCTAGCTATCGACACTGATGTGAAGGGGTCAACGTAAATTGGTAATGATCGACGTTTTCATACAATATTACTTTCCGTCCAGTACAAGATGAGATTTTTCGCCAGGGATCAATGTCAATTGGTGGCTATCGAAGTTTTCATAGAATTTTAGTATTCGTCCAGTATAAGTTGAAATATAATCAATTAAAGTGAAAAATTGTAGTAAAATGATAACAATTTACCAGTTTCAGATTTTTTCCTTTATATTCACCTAATTACCTATCTGCATACCAAATTTGAACTTCCTAGGTCATCTGGAAGTGGGTTATAATTTTGATCTATAGTTGATCAGTGATAAAAATGACGATTTTTGGACATTAATATCTAAATAACCGTTTGAGATATGTTTATGAAAGTTGGAACACATATTTATCTCGCAAGTCTCAATATATGAACCAAATTTGACAGGTTTGTGTGAAAGAGTTTTTGAGTTATGAGGGGGTCAAAAGTGGCTCCAAATGGTTCGTGTAAATATACACACGGTGCTGCAGGCCAGTTTACTTGAAACTCGGCTTGACACGCTGCCGCGTGTCTAGATCATACGCCCTGTAGGTACATTTTTATTATTAAAACAATCATTTATTAACAAAATAATTTATTAAATTCTCTTAGATCGACGTCACATACAAAATGATTGCATTCATTATTTATTATAATTACATTTAAATTATATAATCAATAATTCTACAATAACTATTACCTTTTTAATTGGTGATATACATTTTGAACTTTATCAATGTCAAATTTATATCGGTCTTAGAATTCACTTTATAATCCTACTTACTATATTTCAACAAGTAATGGTTGACAATTCAAATTTATCAGATCCAAAAAGTAAAAAATATTTTATAATTTACTTATTAATATATCGGCAGTACAGTAATTTGATGTGACAAATTCCTAGTGGCAGTATGACACATGACTGTAACTACCTTTGACAAATACAGTAATTTGCCTGTTACCCCACTACGTAATATCTATTTAAAAAATATAAACTTGGCTAAATTCTATATTTGAAAGATTTACAAATTTAAGTTTCGTAATGAGATTGCGATTTGACTCTGATCTGATAAACGATTTTTATGGATTACACTGTTAAAAAATATTTTTCTATTATTACGTACATCGTAAATATAAATGAATGTATTTATTGTGCTTCCGTCATAAATCCTAGAGGTTAAAACTAATAGTCTATAATATTTATTGGTAATGTCATCACAATATTATGCAAATTTATGTTGTATTGTCATGGACCTACAGAAGAAAATAAGATATTACAAGAAAATATTAGTAATCAAAATGGTGCATAGTTACTTTTACAAATATATATAAATGGAAAATTATTGGAAGGTATACAATGGATTCAAAACTGAACTAAGATAAGTATAGTAAATAACCCACTATCTATTGCACTTAAGTTGTAATAAAATACCTTAAAATATTCATTTCTTGAAATAGTCGATACAAATAAACATAATTAGCAATATTTACATAATCTATATCTACGAAAAATATTGAAATATAAACGTATCTAAAACATTACAAAGTAGCATGTTTTTTTAATAATATTTATTAAGTAAAGTCATCCACAGTTTAGTTGATTCGCCCAACAGAGATATTATTTTATTTCGTACAATGTTCGATCATTTTTTACATATAAACATCTAGCAATATTAAAATGGTCCAAATGTTAAATGTTTAATGGCAAAAATATTCACTTAAAAAATAAATATGAGTTTTATATTATTTACAACTTTTTTATATTTGGAATGGCAACAATGTGGCAGCCAACTTGATGGTAAGTGGTGACCGTCGCCTATATATCTACATGAATATCACAAAGCACATCACGTTATCATGTGACGCCAGTGCGAACCTCATGTTTTTATATTCCGAAGGTCTAAGTCACGTCACTTATTATGTTTTATCTAATTACACTGTGCTTAATTTTATTAAATTAATAATCTTTAAATTATATACACTTATACTATACCATGTGCGCTGTAGCATGGTGCGGGTTACAGTTGCCTTTATGAATATACTAGAACGTTCTGGCTGAGTTAAATTTAAGTTACTACAGTTATTAAAGATTTAATATATTACGAATGTATGAATGGTACCCTACAGCTAAAATGTTAAGTCATAATTTGTAAATTTTCAACTGAGGCGGCAATTTTCAAGAGTGTAATGAAATGTTACTGAAACTATCACCCGCACCTTGCCACAGCGCAGATGTTATAATCGCATATTATATCATTGAAAATCATTACAAAATTTAATAATTTACAAATATTTTGTCTTCCATTTGTAGTTATAGATTACTCGACATTTTTACAGTATCTAAAATCCCACGGTGTTATCTGGACGTGGAAATCAATTCTTGTGTTACGTCATCTCGCTATTGCAAATCTAGGCCGACATGTACCTGCAATTAAATAATACGTTATACATACCTTGTGTTATTTTATTTATATTTTGTATATTTGCCTTTGCTAAGCCTACTTACTAAACGATTACTTGAATGACGAGCGTGCATGGCAATACTTCATGCACGGGACATATACACCTTTATACATTGTAAATAAAGGCCTTCAAAAAAAAATAACCTAGCTTTAAAAAAAATAAGAAATTTAAAGGAGTTTCTTGCCAGTTCTTCTCAATTGAATAAGTATACGAAAACTGGACGGTAGAGAAAAAATATATCTAATATAAAAACATTGATGTTCATAAGCAATTAAAACGTCATACATAATTATAAATATTTTTTTATTTAAACTTGAATTTTGTATTGTTTACGTCATCAAAGTCATAAAAGTGAGAAAAATGGGATGTTACCATTTTTTATGATGCAATAATGAATTGAACACAAAGCTGTAATATTTAATATTTAAAAGCACAATATGGCATCATACTAGTGGTTAGTAAACTTATATTAGTTTTGTCAACTAATTAATAAAATTGTACAAATTGTACCAAAACAATAAATAAAACTGATTGCATTAATGAAAGTAATGTTATCAATCTGATATTAAAACAGGGAAAGCAAGTTTGCTATGAAAATATTAGCAGCAGGCCGCAATGACCTCGCTTGGTTCGCACAACATATTATTTTAATAATATTCATTTGGAATAATCTACAAATTATATAATGGCTCCTCTCAAGTTATAGGTTATCTCCTTAATTTAGTAGTTATCATTTTACTGTGTCGGGCAGTTTGTTTAGGTACATTTGCCTTCATTCGTGAGTACTTACCTATTATAAGTAGATACTAAATCTTACAAAGACAAGCGTACATGCACAGTGTATCTTTATTATATTCTTCATTCAAGATTGTGCCCATAGATGCTTTACAAATATTGATCGTATCCATGTTTCTTTTATAAAATTTACATGATTTTTTTAAATACGATAAATCAAAATCTGATTGTGCATTCAATCAGATTTTGATTTATCGTATTTTAATGGAATTTAGATTCCATTAAAATACGATAAATCACAATCTGATATCTGATAGATAACCAACTTAACAAGGTACCTATTGCTATTTCGTATATAATTTCACAATTTCGTTTAAAATCTCTTATTTCTTGTACCTACTATTTCTAAGCTTTAGTAATTGTTCCATTAACTAAAAAGGTTAAGAAAATTGATAGCTATGACTATGAGGAACGAAAAAAATATGGATGAACTGTGTGAAAAATGATAAGCATGAAAGGATTAAGAGTAATTTCAGATAAGGCGATAGCGATCAATGTAAAATGAAAAGCATATTGATCCAACCCCAAATAAAGGTGACGCATTAACGAATACCTATGTAACACAAAGTTTCTACTAACAAAATAATTTGAGAATCAATTATCCATTTAAACAATACTAGGCATTTATTTTAGAATTTATGAAATTACAAACGGATATGTTTTTGGTTTCTCCGTGTGTTAATTTAGGTACTACGTTCCGGGTGGCAGTTCTTGATAGTACCCAAATTAGGGTTACTACTAAAAAGTAAATACCTTTTACCGTATTTATGCCTTCAAAGATGGTCCTTAAGAGCCAGTGTTGCCTACAAACAAAGGTTGCCTGTGTGAGTACCGTATCACATTTAAAGTTGTCAGCAGCTTGCCTTGCTAGTAGTTTCTGTTTGATCTATTATATATTTAAGTATTACTATCGGTTGTAAAATATCCATAAAATAATCTTTGGGTTATAATGACACCTTGGGACTTTTTTTGTATTGTCATAGTACTGTTAATCAGTCCTGGATTTATAAATAGGCCATATAGGCCGCGGTCTAGGGGCGGCAGATTTCAGAGGAAGGACGGTCATTCGATTTCAGAGAATAAAACTCAAACAAATTTGAGAAAGTTATTATTTTAGAAAGGTAATATACCTACCAACATGGGGCGGTTGAAATAAACTGGCCTACACTCATCTATACGTATAAATGAAATTGGAATGTCTGTAATATTAAAATAACCGTTTGTTACTTGATGCATATGAATATATGATGCATATACATACAGTACATACACCAAAACAACATTTTTTACAATTTTTGTCTGTCTGTTTGTTCCGGCTAATTTCTGAAATGGCTTGTCCGATTTTGACGGGACTTTTTTTGGCAAGTAGCTGATGTAATGTAGAAAAATAAAGTTGTATAACGGTTGTCTTTTTCCATTAACTGAAGAGTCTTATTTGCCATTCTAGTTAAAATATATATATAAATATCAAAACAAGGACACGATTTTGGAGCAATGCAGTGATATCAATGCAATGGCGCAGCGCAACTGTTAGGGCTAAGGACAATAACCAGTGATATCATAAATTATGCTGATATCATACATAATAATACTTATTTTTTGTAATTATGATCATATATAGTGCCTCGTTTTATTTTATTATTATATAGTGCCTCGAATGTTGTTCACATACTACTTAATTATGGATTAATTAAGTCAACTAAATTTTAATTACAAAATATAAATAAAAATATACTACCTACTAACTGTAATAAGGTTACTAAATAAATAGGTGAAATTGAACAATTTCGCAATTGCTGGAAAACCGATAGCAACATTTTTTAAGTAAAGCAAATAAATTATAATACTTATTTACATATAAATATTGCTGTCGATATACTGTACTACTCAGGCAAAGGCATTTCGAGTTATAGATTTTAAGTGAAATAAACAGAATGAATGAAATAGTAATTATCATAATTAATAATAAAAAAGCGAGAATAAAATAAAAATATTATAGATAAGAATATAATTAATATAAAAATTATATGAAGACATAAATAATACTTTGTGTTTCAAGTATTGATAAATTGTCAGTGGCAGTAATGAGTATTTTGCCCAGGTTACATTATCCACCACCGCTGTAGTAATAAAATCGAGATAACCTCGACTGACCTTATCCTACATTGAGTCCACTCTCCAACCAGATGTAAACAATCCAAAACTGTTCGAACACAAAAGAAAAAACATATTAACGAACACAATGATTCTTACAATTGAAACAACTGTTTCAGAATTATCTTTTAATATAAGTTAAATATCAGTTATGATTATAATTACGTCTATTATCTTTTGCATGTACTCTCAAAAATCCACTGCAAACATTTGATAAGTAAATAAAATTTATACAGATTATATCTTGGTAACAGGCAACCAACCATTACTAGATTAATAACGATACACTAAAACGAAACAAGTTTCTTACTTCGTATTGGTAATTAAATCATATTCTTAAATATACATGCATTTCTCGTTGATATGTAATCACAAATAATTTTCATAAAAATAGTTCTAATACTTTTAGTAAGCAGAAAAATTGTTATAAATTACTTAAAAGAGTCGAATGTCTTACAATTTACAATATGGAATTGTGCGTTTAAGTATAAGTTTAAAGTACGTCGTAAGGACCACTATAACAAGAGCTAACGTGGTGAATAATTAAGGCACACACCAGAAAACATACTGTTAGTTTACTTTTTTAAATACGGTTTACAAATTACAATTATATATTTAATATTACCTACAATATTATGTTTACTACATCTAGGTTCACTGAAACTTTATTACGTCCTGGTATATAATATCTGCAGCACCTAATAATAGGTGTATGCTTTGAGAACTCTGTAGTACGGACTATTACAGGAAATTGCGAAAGTCTGCGCAGTTCAAAGTTATTAAATATTTAGGTACATAGTACTATACGACATCAGAAAGCAATAAGATCATAATTAATATAGAGAACTAAATTAAATTAATATTATACTTTTATAAATACCTCATGGTTGTTGTTAAAGTGTCAAAAACATTGTTTTTCTATTGCCATTGTAAAACTATAGGCGTATTATTATACCTTTATTTAAAAGACTTTCTCCAATGCAAAGACTATAACTATGATGTTGGAATTTAAGCAAATATCATATTTCCTTGCTATGTCGTAATTGATAATGTCTTGAAACTACAAAAGTGTAATTTGTAATAGGTATGTATAATTCTGAACACAATTTACAAGAAAACATAACCAACAATCACTAGTTTGAGTGATCGTTCCACAGAGGCAGTTATGACAGCAAAGCTGTGGACTGAACTGTACACATATATATGTACAAATTATCGTATAAGTATGTACTATTGTTTGTACCGTACACTTTTTTAATTAAGTCCTTTGCGAACATTTTAAATTTATACATAATTAAAATATACCTAAGTTTAATTGGCTGTTTTTTCATTCTTGTGCTTGTAAAATAGAGACAAACATAGTAATAATTAAATATTATAATTGCACATTTCATGAGCAATAATTCTATATTTAACCACATAAAGCACCATAACAATGATTCAAACTAACCTAACGTTCCTTAATAGCTTTTATATTGAGCAGTTTTCAGTACCTACGTATAATGTTTTTCGTAATATTAAATAGAAATTTTAGATCATTTCCTGTTTCGGTTCGCATATTCTAGTAAGCAGGCTTTATTTACTTCCTTTTATGTTTCATGCATGCACCTCTCAGTGGTGATTCACATGTACTTACCTATATTGAAAACTACATTTTACTATGTATGCTTATTGTGCCGAGACAATAGTATATTAATTTATTTGATTTGTGACCACCTGAAATGTCATCTATTTACTCAATATACGCCAGTTTAGTTACGCGTCACATCAAACAATAACAATATACGCACAGCTGAACATTACTAAGTTTTTTAGAAAAAAAAACTACAGACTTTATTGCCTACGTTATTTGTTTAACATTGTACATTTGAAATTAATAATTGCATTCGTATTTATTAAAAAGTAAGTTATATCTAATAGTATTCCTACTAGGAGATTAATTACAACTACATTAAAATGTAGTATATAATAATGTACATAGTAATGTATAAATACAACAAACGTAGTCGTAGGGATTTAATAATTAATAACACAATGGAATTCTAGAGCAATCAAATCTCATCGAAGAAATGTAGAAGTAAGAATCTCGTGAGGGAAGGATACCAAAAATTTACAACTATTCGATCACCAATATTTTCCGATGCAGCTAATGATAGAACTTTGCAATACGAATATTCAATGTCCATAAAGAAAATGAAATTAGTAGAAGAAAAATACTTCGTCTGCTGAATGTGACTACCAAATTAAATAAAGACATATGAGCTAACAATCGATCGACTGACTCATATCGGCGAATCTACCAATTAAACTAATTGTACCAATAAAGAAGACAGAAAAAGAACGAGCATAATTCAATTACATGTATCGCTGTCCACGATATATAGCCGTAAAATCACTAATCATCACAGCGACACATTTGCAAGTGATACAGCCCTCAAATCTATAAAAGATTTTAATGAAACAATAAACTACAATAAATAAATAAGCCTGAGTAATTAACACAATTCCATCTAGTCCCAAAGTAAACAGAACTTATGTTATGGGTAGACATAGATACAGACAGACACCTATTTAAATAAACGTTGTAAATAAACCGATTGTTTCTGTATGCTGAACTGGACGGTATGGAAAAAAATATAATATAAACATTTTGACATTCATAAGTGGTTAAAAATTCCTCCTATTATTTTTGAAATCGAATATAAGTAAAATAATGCTCACTGTATTATATATACTTTAAATATAAAGAGGCGATTGTACTACCTACTAGACTTCGATGTCTATCCAACTAAAACTAAATTATCTAATGTGAATTCAACCCCTCACACTTCTCTCATATTAAGAGTTTTCTATTACTAGATAAATATTAAATTCAAAATTGTCTAGTTTATCATATACGGTTTCAATGTTCCTATACGCTTAAAATGAAACGTTGTTAGTTGCCTATTAGTTTAAAAGTGGATACACAACCCCGAGCTCGTATATCCAATCATAAAGTGCGGAACAATAATTATGGGCAATTTAATTGAAACTTATTCTACATATATCGTACAGAGAACCGGTGTTGCTATTATCAAAAAATGGATATAGCTTTTGAGCATTAATAATAAACAAATTTTTCAGTATGGTTTATACTTAAATTATGCATATCTTAAGGGTACGCAATGGCTTATAACCTTTAACAAAATCATATATAGATAAATCTATATATGCAGTAAAAGCGCATACGTATATATCTTTTAGTTTAGCTATGCAAGGCAACATAATTAACAAAATACCAAAATAGTGGATTATTGAGACATGTTTTATAACTACAATATAAGGATAATGTATAATAATAAATATTAAATTAAAATGCATTATTGATTCTGAACTACAAATATTAATATTAGGATAAGGCTTTTTTAAGTCCATATTGCACACCCGTAGCGTTTATATAAATGTATAACTTATTACTTACCCCTCATATATCACTATAGTACATAAAACAAATGTTATAAATAAAAAGTACCTACATACATCTATTACATTATATGTATTTAAAATTATTTGCAGTCTTTAGTACTTATACAATTGGAGTGTTTCCTTGGTACCTAATATTATTATTATAAGCTTCATATTAGTAAACAAAATTGTAAATATATAAAACATGCATGTAAATGCACTTTAGTAAAAAGTGGTGAACATATTTAGAAATTAGCTATACCTACCTAGTGATGTATATTATGAACATATTACTAAACGATGGTTAGAGGCCTTTGGCACTCATTCTCTCTTCCTATCATACTTACCCACTTATGTGATGATAAATGATATTAATATTCTATCTTATGACAAATGTTATTTGCTACGTATTAATTGAATTAAATTCTATTAATTACTACTTGAACACTAAAATATAATTTATTCTTATAGGTAAAGCATAATAAAGGACGAAAGAACAAATAAGTTGTGATTAATAATAAAAGTAATCAAGTAATCCATTCAGAATTATTGTTAGCATTGAAGTTATAGTTAGTACAAAACTGCCGTTTTAAAAGCGTGTTACACAGCATATTCACATTATATATATGTACACTGCCTTGGCCAAAAGTGTCAATCTAAAATTCCTTAGAAATTTCTTTAATTTTGACACGGTATATATTTATTAAAAAAAAAAAAAGGGGGGTCTGGATGTTCGGATCTTAACCCAAGTGAACATTTATGGTCGACTTTAAAGCGCAACATAACTTTAAAGAATTGATTGATATAGGAGTGGAATGTCATAACTCTACAAGAACGAAATTATACTTTTTTTTACAAAAAAAAAACTGTAATTTAAGCAAAGGGTTTCAATACAAAATATTAATGTAATTTTAAGAAATTTTAGTTGTGTAAGTACAGTATAGTACTTAAGTATTTTTTAAGGTAATTATAGGCCAAGGTTGTATATGTATATATAATATATATTACATATGTATATTGCTATGTATATTATTATATATGTATATTGTCCCAGTGTTAATATAAATATGCGCAATAATAAGTAAGTACTATATAGTGAACTGTGGAATCAATTATCACTAGCAACTAATAACTTAAAAAACTTGTGTTATATAAATATTATTATGACATGAAAATCACATTATATATTATATAGAAATAGATCTAAAAATCCTATTATATTTTACTTTAAAAATGATCTTTTGTTATTTAATACCTAGTTGCAGATTAAACAGATCACTGTAATCATATCCTTGGTTACCTCTACAGTGCACATAACAACAAAATAAAAAAATAACCATCTGAATTGGTACATACATGAGGATCTTGTATAACATATCCATACCTTTCTTGTGAAACAGACAATGTAATGGAAAATCTCCTTTAAAATTATATAAAATATTTCTTTTTAATCTGAGACACAAGTGACAATGAAGTATTACAAGATCACAATTACAGTTGAACATCCTTCAATACTGTGTAACATTTTTGCAATAATTTAAATCATGAAATACTACACTATTTGTAAATGTTAAATCAAATTGTACCATTACTACTTATATAAATATAATATAAAGTGTAATAAATATGATATGTAACAATTGACTCCACAGAATTTTAGGTGAGAGGAAAGCTGGACAATATGGACATATTAAATAGAGGAAATTGTGTAATGAGCACCCATTGCTACTTACATAGAATCATGGTGAAGCTACTTAACCATAAGTCCTGTTATAATGAATTTCAATGTTATACTTTACCCCTTCCATGCTTGTAATGACGCTTTCTGTAAAATCTGTTGGTTAAGAAGAACTTTATGACTAGAATAAGAATAAATAAACAGAATATGTACAGGAGGCTTAGCATTCCAATGTCCAGGTTTGAGAATGGGCTTGGTGCTGCTGCTATGGATCTTGCTCTTCTAAGGTCCCAGATGTTTTCCTTCTTGTACACTTTTATTAAGTACTGGTACACAGACGGTAAGTTCCAAGCACCACGAGCAGATCTACATTCAGGACAGTTTGTTACACTAGGAAATTGGGTTTTGGGATGCTCAGGGTCCTCAGTGAGATCACCAGCTAGTCGTAAATTAACTTCATTGTGTGCAATCCACAGCCAAAGTACAGCTTTGTCGTTCTCTTTTATATCAAATATTCTATTTCTGGTTGCCATTGCTTGGAAATGCTCAGAGCAATCAGTACAGCCAAAGAAATTCTTTACGTAACCGTGCATCACTTTCAGGACTTTTGGGCCCTCTACTCCTGGACTCTGAGCTGCATTTACGGTCAGGGTATGAAACATTGTCCAAAGTCCACAAGTATATCCTCGATATTGAGGCTGGCTTCCTTTGCATCCTATGTATTCTAGTTCAGATGAATACACTGGTGCATGAGTGTTCTCTAGTTTCTTTACTGTTTCATACACTTCACTGCCGCTCCATTCTTGTTTGGAACCCAGTGTTGTATGCAAATCAATGATATAGTCCCTGAGATTTCCTCTAGCAGGGAAAAAGCTTCTAAGTATTTCCAAGTAGTCTAATAAAGATGTTAAGAGTTCCCCCTTTAATATTTTATGTCTTGTTATTTCTGTTGTCAAACTTGTTTTAAGAGTTTTTTCTAAATCAGCATAATACACTACATCTGAATTTGGCAGGTGTTTTTCATTAGAATGGTCAAGCACAGTGTTATCTTTATGAGTTATATCACGAGTTGGGAATATATAGTTTTTAGATTTTAAAAATGTATTGATGGCATTTAACACATTGTGTTGTGTTGGATTTTTTGGGGTAATATTTGTGGCCTCTAATGTAGATCTAACAGCGACAAGTCCAGGAAAATGATGCACTCCAGCTATATCGGCCAATTCACTGTTTTCATAAATTCTTTTCACCTTTATGTGCTGATAGTCATTAATATCTAATGCGATTTCAGAACCGATAGTAGAGTTCTCATTTTCAAATATTAAGAATGTATAAGTCACATCATTTGGCACATCAGTGAGTGCTGATGCATAGGATGCATATGAACCAATACCCAATTTAGGTGCAAATCCTAAACGTCCCTTGGACTGTTCATTTTGCATTTTCATAATCACTTGTGCCTTGAGTTTGTCACCAGCTTCTGCCATTTGTATCCTGTCACCAACATTCCCATTGGCCTTCTTATACTGCTCATGTACATACCGCAGAGATGGATACGCCATTACCTCAAATTGTCTACATATTTCAATGTTTTCTTCAACAGAACAGTCCATAACTGCTAATTGGATAATGGGCTTCCAAGGCACGAATTCTTTTGCCATTGCTTTAAATTTTGGAGCAAATGCTCTACAGTGTCCACAGTAACTGTTATAAAATTGTACAACTGCGGCATGTCTCTGATTGTAAACTTTTCTTTCGAAATTGCGCTGAGTCAATATCACAACATTATCAGACTTGCTGTATAAACCTTGTTCTTCTACATCATCATTTGCTATGATTGCACAGTTTACTAGAGCTTGCGATATGACTACAATTACTATAAAATACCAGCTGTACATTTTCGATCTTAGAATATTATTGCATGAGTCAAAATTACAGAAACACGTAGATCTCTAGTTTCTGAGAGGTGAAGAACACGACCGCGAGTAACGAATTCGGTTCCCAAACTAACAAAGTAATTCGAAACAATCAATCAACATAATTCTCTGTATCGGCCATAAATTGAATTGAATACGTCACTTCATAACAATTATTGACTGCATTCTCTGAACTATCAGTATTTAATTGAAACTTTTGAGTTACTTATTTCGGTCATGCATCATTTTAATCTAATCGAAATTATGAAAAACATTTATGGCTGTTAAATAAGGGAAATTTGTTATTGAAATATGTCAACACAAAGTTTTTTATTTTTTATTGTATACTGCTTTGGATACAAGTTCTTTTGAACCCAGCCTCATCAAGTACAAATGTAGTCTGTTTTTTACTTTCGGAGAATAAATGTGAAATTTTCGAAAAGCACAGGATGTTTTAAGTGAGTTTACGTATTTTTTGCGCTAGTAAAAATAGTAGTCTAATAATATTTATTTTTGGGTTTTTAAGTTAAAACTACTAAAAGTAATGAGGGGCAGAGGGAGGAAATGAAAAAATGCAGTGTAAGTATCGGTTGATACATATATACGATGATAATTATTTTCTAGGGAAAAAAGAAAAAAAATTTCTAGGGAAGTATGGATGCAAATATGGAGACATTATTTTTTATTTCCTATTTTTAGCATTTTTCACGACAAATGTGATACATTTCCTGTCTATATTTTTAGCCCAGTCTGTAGCAATTTCGCTATTAATAATGATGGTTAAGAGTTGAGAGGAGTATTAGGTTGGCTAAAACATCTAACCAAATGGAATGGGAATGGGACATTACTCTGGTCTGTGGGTTATGGTGTGAAGGTGGAGGAGGGAGTTCCCAAATTTCTACTTTTATGTAACTCACATATATAAGTGTTAATATATACCTTATCTGTGGTTTTAATAAATGTAACAAAAAGTGTTTAGTACAACAATAAGTTAGCGTAGCGTAGCTGACGCGGTTATTAAAACTCACAACTATAATATTAGTAGTAATACTACCTTTTTATATATAAAACATAATAATATTTTTTTTATTATATAAAATATACTTAGATATGAGATGTTTAGTGATATTAGTTTTGCTTAGTTTAAAGTTTCATTTTCATGCAATATCTATCTAAATTAAGTACTAAAGTAGGCATCAATACGTACATAAAAATATGTAGATATTTCAATCAAAACATTTATAAATCAGACGCCAAATTACCAGACCATTTAGTACCATAGAGGGTAGGAAGATGGCGTTGTTATAAAAATATATAATGTGCTTTTATAAGCACATTAATAAATTATCTTTTAATAGTACATGAAGACATATTATATTTAAGAAATATCTAAATGTATTATCAATTTATCATAACCTACCTACTCGAAATTATTATTTACTTTAATGGTCAGTGTGAGTATGCATTTTAATAACATGATTAGTCTGTTACATTTTGTCTGATTGCTCCTTACAGCGTTATCGAGAATAAAACAGTATATACAAAAAATTGTAAGGGTAACTGTAACAGTTTCTAATTACTATTAAATATATAAAGAGAGAATACACGTTTTGTATTACGTCTCACGTGATTAGTTCCCCACGCATTGTGTAGATGGCGCTAGTGACATTTTTGCTGTTATTTGGTCAATTCAACGAATGTATCGTTAGATGAAGCTCTAAAGGGCAGTTTGCAATTAGCATTAGAATAGTTTGAAATTTATTATTCATATTTTTCGAACTATTCTATTATATAATCAATTTCGATAGTTTTAAGCAGGGATGTTATGAATATGAAATTTCGGATACGGATAGGTTTCGGATATAGAAATTATTATTATACCGGATTCGGATACGGATGCGGATATTAAATTATTTCGAATTATCCGTTAGTATCGGATAATTTCGGTTACGGATATTCATTTTTTAAGGAATTTCAAAAGAAAAATACAAATGGTTACTTAACATGTCTCAATTAGGCTCCGCGCCTAACCGATATTATCCGACACATTTATTTCGGAATCGTTTACGGCGACGGATTATTACAAACCGGATAATTGATAGGTTAGGTTACGGTTACGGAGCTCCCTAACATTACTAGTTTTAAGTTTGTTAATAAACTCAATTAATAAATGGTACAGTCGTCTTCGCTATGGTAAAGTGCAATAAAATTATCTGGCCTAGTGGCCGAAACAGAAACTAACCTTGGAAATTCTATTTATCGTCAACACTAAAGTCAAAAATAGCCACGCTGTTACATTGGGTCAGATAAGTTAGGGGCATTTACTGTAATCTGTCGGGTACCAATGAAGATGGTACCAATGAATGATGAGCATGAAGCCTTGAACATAATACATAACTCGCGCCTGGGATCGCGTAATTTTGTTCGCAGGTATATTGAGAAACAGTTCGTTCGCTCCCGACTTGAGTCTGACTGAAGATTGGTCATCCTGTAGTTCACAAATATTTATTCCCTCAATTACATGTTTTTATTTTTTTTTGTATGACTGTATCGTACCAAAGAGCGAAGGATCTGAGAACTAATTCGCGTAGGTCGTCTTTAAGTGCGCTCTTCCGAACTAGTTCCGAAGTGGATGGATTTCACCTATTTTAGTCGTTAAATATCCTGTTGTGAAATTTGTTTTTTGGTTGTAGGTGAGTATAGGCAGAAATATAAAAAATTTAGGAGAAGGTGCGTGGTACCAGTGTTGTGATAATGTGATATCCGTAGTGCTGATCATGTATGTAGTAGGTATGTACATATGTTCTGTGGTGTTAGTGATGCTCTTACCTCACCTTACTATATGATGTTTTTTTTTAAGTAAGTACTTGGCAAAAAAGCTGAGATGGCAGCTTTTTTGCCAAGTACTTACTTAAAAAAAAATCATGAAGTTTTCTAGACGAGACTGCTTGGAGGTTTTTAATTCATGGGACTTTGAATTTTGAATGGGTCCAATTACTAACAAACGAGTCGCGCAATTATAGGTATATATATTTTTTAAAAGGTGATATTGGTGTGGTTATTAGTTCTAGGTTCGAGGCTAACGGTTTGTGCTGTCGGTGCACCAGTGGAGGATGATAACAAGAGCATGAGGTCAGGTCAGCCCATCGAGGTAAATTCACCAGGAATTTATCATGATGGTTTCCAGGAGAACCGCGTGGAGGTTAATCTGACATGGTACATTGCTAGCAATGGGGTCATCAATCCCATTGACTAACAATTCCCTTCCCCCTATTTATATTAGAACGGGCATCTGTACTGAATCATATAATTACTCAAAGACATATACATATGATATGATTACTTGTAAAGCGACTTTAGAATCTCGCATAATGTTAAGAATAATAAATCTATTGGTCCTAGTTGTATATCAATTAGGGCGGCAAATAAATAGGATGAATACACAGCTCATTTATACCCCTTCGATCGATCCCCCGTCCAATTCAAATAGGGCAATACAAAATTACGACGGCTTGAGCCGAGGTTCGAACCCGTAGCGGTGCCCTCAGACTAAAGTGTTATCTGCCAGGCGAGAGTAGGTCTTCAGCCGCTCCATAATATTCCGCGGGTTTGAAGTGCCATCTGCACTCGCCCTCTATCGTCTGGTGAAGTTGTGAAGGCCAGCTGCGGCCAACTGCATTAGAGTTGTCCGAAAAAAAAACGCCTTTGACCACCGAAACGTCAACTAGGTAAATTATTTTTTGGTGCTAGGCCATAGCGCATGACTGAACTCAAAAACTTATTTTATTAAACTTGTAATTACTGATTTTCTTAAAGAATGTGAAAAATGGGCTAAATTACATTGGAGTAATTTCTCCACTCTCTTTTAGGAACTGGAGTTCACTTGACACGGCCTTTTTCCAATCACACTATCCTCTCTCTCAATAGCTTCTTCAAATGTACCAGGATACTTTTCTTTTATTGTACTTATATGGCACACATATTCTTGATACACTTTCAGATAAGGTATAATTAGGTCGTTCTCCGTCTCTCAGATTGTACTTAGGCCCCATGTCACTTAATGATTCGACGTCTTGAAGTGGATAACTAGATTGGCTTATCAAATTCTGTAAGCGGTGGAGACGGAAGCAGATACGGGTATTACATACTGAAGGGGATCAGGCGAGTAGGTATACGACACGACACGAACACTTTAACACTATTATTTAATAAGTTATAGAACACGTATATAACACACACTTTTCAGTTTTTTGATTGACAATAAACAAGGAGGGTAGCCCTAGTAACCACTAGTCATAGACTTTATACTAGTGCTATTTAACCTTAACATTATAACAAATTCATTAAAAAGGAGAGAAACATAACCATTCTATAATATTCCCCAGCCTCAAAAAAAATAAATATGGCTCGAGTCTGGTTATAAAATTAAGCAATTAAGTAAATGTTTAGGCTGTACGCATCATATCGTAAATTGATGAATAATTTCCACCTACTCAATGTTTGGAATATTTAAACATTTGTATTATTTATTCACCGAAGAGGATATAGGTAGACATAACCTATATAATATTATTTTGCCTCGGTGAAGTAAGTTCTTGTTCTGAGTCTTTGTTCTCAGTATATTACCTGCTTACTGCCATCAATCACTGTCAGAAGAATATTATAAACGTAATAATATATAATCTCATATTTTAGTGAACTATCAAGATTATAATCACAATTTTACTTGATTTATGTAACTATAGTATTTACCAATAGTCGATATATGTTCTAATAATGTTTTCCAGCCATCCGATGTCTATTTTTTGTATAATAGCAACCGAGTTTTGTGAAAGATTTTCATTTTGTGGACTTAGAAGTAAGTTATAATTTGTTTTTTTATCCCTAACCTTATTAGAGCGAAGCAAATAAAGGCTCTATTGATTTTGGTCAGTATGTTACATGTGTACTGGTCAAAATAGTATTCTCTGATAAATTATAAACTGTTTATTACTTTGATTAATTCCGCGGCTTTGCTCGTTTTAATTTATTCCCCTTAGGGGTATAATTTATCAAAATCCTTTCTTAGGGGATGCCTACGTCATAGTAGTTTTATGCATGAAAAGTCTCAGCTCGATCGGTTTAAAATTGACAAAGTTTCATATCAACTTTAATCCCCTATTTTATACCTTTGGGGATAGAATTAATCAAAATCCTTTCTTAGCGGATGCCTACGTCATAACATCTACCTGCATGCCAAATTTCAGCCCGATCCGTCCAGTGGTTTGGGCTGTGAGTTGATAGATTACTACGTCAGTCACCTTTCAGTTATATATATTTAGATTAAACATTTCAAAAATATATATCGTTTATCTGCGAATTAGTTTAAATGCGTACTATTATTGAAAATAATATCTAAAATCACAGTCTCTCCTCAAACTTGTCTAAAATACAAATTATATCACTAAAATAATTTTAATACGAATAAGTAGTCTGTGATAATATATTGAAATTGTTATTTACAAACTGAAGTAAGTGACTCTAGTGACGAATATTTGAACGTAGCACGAGTATATCAAAATACATGTTCAAAGTAATGATCAAAGGGAATGCATGCTTGCCTGCTTTAATCCCCTAATACAGCAAATAATATGCAAGTCCAGCTGAGACAGAGTTAGTACTTACCTATCTATCGTTGCAGTCGTTGTTTAACAAAGCCTCTCTCCGGCACGGCTCTCATAATATTAATATGCTCTGTATCTATTCGTATTGCTTCAAACTCTCCACTGTCTACGTTTTCAATTTACCGATGCTTCAATATATGAATATATTGCATCCACTTACATAATAGAATTGTGTAGTGTGAGACAGGACAAAAAGGGATATAAAAGTAGATATCGAATCAAAACAAATTAAATAAACAATCATTTTTTCATGTAGTTCATGTACTTATATAATAGTTTAAAGATAGACAAGACATAATTGGAAGCTTTTTAAGGGCAGGTTGCATTGTTTTTAGAGGAAGAATTTCTTAGCAGCAAGAATTGTATAATTACAAATACAATATAAATTGTTACTGAATAAATGAATATCAAATATAAAATTTTATATTTTCCCTACCGTTCAGTTTTGGTATACAGATTCAATAGAAAAGAACTGGCAAGAAACTCAACGGTAATAGTAGGATTACGAAATTAATGTACACTATCTGGGGAGAAAAGGGATTGTTAGTAATGTGGATTGATGATCCCATTGCTAGACATTGTAGTTATGTATAATGTACAATAGTCTCAATGACCGGTTCCCCTTTCGCTACTAAAATTAAAAATATGAATATACCTTATTGCTCGAGAACTTCGTATTATATATTGGTTATGACATATAGTAATAAGGAATATTAATAAAGCTATTATTAAGCTATATTTTTACCGCCTGTTCTAACAAGCGGTGATTAGGGGAAAGAGGATTGGTAGTAATGTGGATTGATGATCTTATTGCTAGCAACCTGTCAGGTTTACCTCCACACGGTTCCTTGGAAAACATCCTGATAAAATCCTGGTGAATTTGTCACGATGGGCTAACTGACGTGACCTCATGATAATCTTATCGTCCTCCACTAGTGTCCCGCCTGTGTAAACCCATAGCGCAGGCGGTAACACGATTCCGTTACCATGCATAGAAAAAAACTATCTATATGTAAGTTGCCATCTTGCGGGCACTATACTTCATAATATGTTTCCTTCATACATGTCATTATAATGAGTCCATGAGTATTATGATATCCATAAGTTCATAAGTCTATGTCCATAAGTCTCAACATAATAATGTTGAGACTTATATAAGTAACATGTAACTTCCTGTTTAGGAATTTTTATTACAGATATTAGATATTTTACATATATGTACATATATTTGAATGAGACTTAATTTGATAACGATGTCAAAAATATTTTAAATAATTACGTTCTTTAACATTGTAAATTGCAATCATTACTTTACTAGCGGAAATAAATATATGAGGTAGTTGCATGTAACATTTTTATTCAAACTGTCGAGCTGTCGCGTCGCCTAGTTTTACTTCAAGTTTCTGTGCGAGGCGTTTCTATTTATTTTAATTTCATTTCTGTGCAGCAATCTTGTCGCTTTACTTGAGGAACGTGCTATGTCTACACGAAAATGCTGCAACTGTTGTATATCACATTTTCATTATGATGTGCTACACAATGCCCCTAGTTGGAGCAGTACTGGCTGACAACTTTATAGGGAGGTACAGGTAGGTAAGAAGTAGATATTAACTCGTATATAGTACATACTTATGTAGAGTATAATTATTAAGTAGAGTCTTTGTATTTATTTTCTTATAAATATTATTGTTGTAAAAGATAGTATTATATTTTAATGCTCTTATAGCATTAGCCTTTTGTAATGTAGAGTTTCGTAAATTACGATATTAGTTTTTATTAATATAACTTCTCTTAAAGATTGAAAGGAACGGCTGCTTATAGAGACCGCTAAGCTCTGTTAAGCTCTGATCATTTTGATTGATTGATTTGATGACACAATGCATAACTGTTAACTGGATATTTAACATTTTGTATGAATTTGTGGTATTTGGTAGTTATAAAGTACTCATACAAATTTGAACTTAAAAATGAAAAAGTAGATATTAATCCATAGCGTTTGTTTGTTATTTGCAAGTTTATTGCTCATTACTCTTGCCTGAATATGTATTTTAATGAGAACGTGAGTGAAAAACATTAAGTGCAGTAAAATAAAAAAAAAACTATTCTAAAATGCATAAGTCCAAAGTTATTTGATTGAAGGTTATTTCGTTTTCCATTTGAAAATATTTCCACAAGTCTATTCCATGTATGCTACAGATAGAACGACGAGGATTTTCTCTGTAAGAGTATTTCATATTTATAGTCGATTTTCTTACGTCACTCAAAGGACGTAGCAACAACCACTTTACTTGTGTGTATACCCGTCGCCATTTTCTTTCTACAAGCAATTTCACGTTGATAGTGCGCTCAGAAATCTTTTTGAGCAACTTCAACACAAAATTGTTGACTTCATTACATTTTTAAATTTAAGTTCACTACGTATACCTATTTGAAAATGCAGAATCAGATTCTTTAGCTATACCTACCTACTATTACTATATAGCTTAATTACTCTAATGGATTGTTTTGAATGATAAGTAGGTATATGTACTGGTTTTTTTTTTATACTTTCGTTGCAAACAAGCATACCCATTTGTAAAAATGTATTTATCCATTAAAACGTATTTATATCTACATTTTTAATTATATGTAGTAAACCTAAATTATTTAAATATATACATACCGTTACTATGGCAGGTAGGTATAACTACACAATTTTGATGGATTTTTTTGAATATATGATAATATTTGAAATATCCTTAGTTTCAGTATTTCACAACCTTTTTAATACCATGCTCCCCATCTTAGCATTTCAAAAATTCTTTTACTCTTATTTTGTTTATTATTTATTATTCACTGCCTAGGCAGTGAATAATTCTTCATTTTCATCTCGGCTTGTCTTGAGCTTGTCCTCATAGACCTCCTCCAAAACACTCCATGTTCTTCTGTCCAACGTTTTCCTTCACTATGTTAGTCCAGCCAATGTCCTTCTGTCATCCTCCCATCTCCTTTTCTCTTTTTTGACATCTTCAATATCATAAACATGATATTAATTTCTTATACAAATAAATACGTTATTTATTATAAGCGTTTAATTTTGAACGAAATTGTCTTTTACATTATTTGGTTTCAACGAACACTTTAGGCTATATCGTAGTTTTAATAAAAGAAGAACCTCAAATATTTGACTTGTGCGGCTTCGCAGTTCCCGGGTAGGTTGCTTGTAATAAATAATAATAGATATAGTATATCATTAAGCGCCTAAATGTTATTAGGCGGTTAATTTCTGTCGTATTAATATTATACATTCTGTATTGCTTAAACTGATGTTTTTATTATATTTCAGAGTGATATTATATTTTTCTGTGATATACTTGTTGGGAACCATGTTGACCTGCTGCTCCGCAATACCGCCTCTCATGTTACCTCCCACGTATGTTTTTACTATTAAATACATATTAAAGAACCACGCATTGAACATAATTTATATTTATCTCTGTTGTAATGTAATTAGCATTTAAACGCTAAAATAAGTCTTTAACCAATTTAAAATTTTAGTCCGTAATAACATGTACATAAGAGTTAGATCTTCATTATTTATTGTTAGAAATTAATTTAATAAATAAACCTTATATCTATATTAATTAATTTATTCCAATATTAATCCTTACTAATGTTATAAATGTAATAGTAACTCTGTGTCTCTCTGTCTATCCCGTTTTCAAGAAAAACTACTGAACCGATTTAATTTAAACTTGATATATAATTGTACACAGGTAGTCTAGACTATGAGAAATGACATGTGCGAAAGGGTTGTAGCGGGTTGAAAGGGGAGATGAAAATATGTATGGATGTATTGTTATTAATAAAGCTAGGAGCTTGATATTTATTTTTTTGGCTGTTGATTAAATGTAATTAAATATGGCATTCAAAATTTGTTAAATTTTAACACTTCATTGGGTAAAATAAAAAGGGGATGAATATGGGATGAGGCCAATATATGGGAGAAATAAAGAATTCATTGGAAATTCGTCAGTTATGAAGTTAGAACTATGAAACTTGCCAACCATAAAGTTATAATACCCCTGCAATGAACGAAAATGTGTCCATTTGGACAATACTAAATGCGGGAATATTTACATCTTCTGCCTCCACTTACAGGTATACTTCTATGATTGGTCTAGCACTGATTGCGACTGGTACTGGCGGAATAAAACCATGTGTGGCCGCCTTTGGAGGTGACCAGGTACCGTATCCATTTATAATTACATGGATCAATCCCAAATGTAATGGGAATAGGATCGTCAGGGACTTGATTGTAACTTTGCAGCTATGAATTTGGCTACTTATATTTAAATTCAATGTATCAAGAGTAAAGCCAGCAAGCCTCTAGCGGCTTAATTTCATTTATTATCGGCGTATCCGTCACCGGAAAGGTAGATTCAATATAAACTATTTTATTGACAACTCTAATTGTGTTGGGCGCAACTGGTCTTTACGACTTAAGCGGACGATAGAGAGCGAGTGCAGATGCCACTCCAAACCTGCAGAACTTATGGAGCGGCTGAAGGCCAACTCCCGCCTGACGGATACGACTTTAGTATGAAGGCACCGCTAGGGACTCGAACCTCGGTACACGCTATTTCAATTGGACGGGAGATCGATACTAGGGTATAAACTATTACAACGTGGTGTTAGTTGGATTCGATCCCATTATCTTTTAGGTCTAAGTAAGAGTTATAATATCTAGGCCACAATTCTTTTTAAAACAGGATATGAAAATGTTTAAATTATTTATGTGTAACATATAGCGGAATATTACTACAACCCTATATTAATGTTACCTCGGCTGTACATGGAAAAATATTTAATAAAAATGTAGGAAGATTAATATGAATAGGTTATAAAAGCTAGTGCAATGCTTTTTAGAATTTTTATTACTTTACGACTTTATAAACCAGACTAAAACGACTGCAGCAAATTACATGTGGTTTTTCATATTTTTATTAAAGCGAAATATATTAAACTCTACATTTATTCTAAAGGGCATGTTTCATTATGTAAAATGCTATAAAAACTCGTTATTACAACTTGGACTTTGATTGCATAAAACAGTTGTGATTTTATTTAAAACCAATTAGTATTGAAACTTTTTCTATTCTGCATGAACGTTGTACTACGAGTGGTATGGCTACAAAGTTCTACGATTCGTAATTGTCAAATGGTTAAATAATAAATTACCTAATTTAAACATAGTGTACTACTGTAGCCGTTGTATAGTTGGATATAACCGATTATATAATTGTATAACGTTTAGTGTGTTAAACACATGGCGTGAATTACATCGTCTACGAACGAAAATGCATTCAGTAAGTTTTTAATTACATCGGTGTTCATAACAAATATATAGTTCTCTCAAAGAGTAAAGTAAATATACCAGAGGAATTCACCTTATGGTAAACGGCTACATTTTAGAGCATGGACACCAGAAATGCCAAGAATTTCATGTTGCAATAAATTTATGAAGTATGAGGCATGCTGAATAGTCTTTTATGAAAACGTTACCTAAAAACGTTAAACAGTATGCAGGGGTTTTTAAATATATTAATATGAAATGGAGTATCCGCTTGCGTCAACTTGCGTAGAAATAGAATAAGAGTTAAGTCAGAATTCACCAGAAGCACAATGGTGATATTCACCTTTCCTGTTTTGTCTGGAAATCATATACTTAGAGCAAGTGTATAATATGCACGAAATCTAGGTCTTATTATCGACGACAAATTGAAAAACATACATACATACATTGGATATAATGAACAATTATTTTAATTTTACATTTTTTGTTTATTTTGTAGATTTGTCAGTGTTTGTTTTTAATTTAGGCCTGTATGTTATATTGTAATTTGTTTGTGTATCATATTTTTTTCGTTGTACTGTATTTTTTTTGTCACTTATTTTATTTTAATTATTATTATTATAATTAAGCAGTGACAAGCATCTTTGTCATGTTCGTTCATAGAACATGCCGTAAAACTGAGTGGAACCATTTCAGTGCTATATGTACCAAAATTGTTTATTTTAATTATACGTAGACATAAGTATATATATTGTTTCTATTGTAAAAGTACTGAATAATTAACTTTCTATCTTTATTTCTCTCGTCTCAGTAGCTCCTTCAAACGAGGTATTAGTAATCTTATCTTACATCGCGTGGCATTATGTTATTATAATGAGTTATATAATATTAAATAATTATTTAATGGAATTAGTGCTAATCGGTGGTTTGTATTCACACACTTAAACTTAAATTGTAAAGTAAGAATAAAATTACTTAAAGGAGCAACACACAAGTTCTTGCTTGTTCTTCTTGTGATGAGATCAGCTTTCCGAATGAGCGGTAGATTAAAAAAAATGTGATGACTATTCAAAAGTGCTTCAATATAAGTTTATTTGAATAAATGATTTTCTATTCTATTCTATTCTAAAAAAATAAAGATTTAGTACACTAAGATCTATAATCTGGTATAGAGCTCTACACGTGTAGCTAGGAATAAGATTCCCTCTAAATCCGCGTATGTATGTAAAGTCCTCAGATTCATCTATAAATAATATATAATCCTCACAGTTCACAGCCTGTTAGAGATATTTTTTCTATTATCCAAAAACATGAATTCGTTTTTCTAGAATAGATCGAAATATACGTTAGTTTTATTTCTTATAAAGCATTTTATATCTAAAATTGACGAACTAGGGATATTATAATGGCTGACATTAACATAAGATATCCTCCTTCCTACTATATTTCTGCCCGTATAGTTATTACTATATTATGTTCTATCTCACGAATTTGATGGTAATATTTTTTTTCACTGAGTAAAATAAAATTTTTTAAGATTTATGTCGGTTCCTTTGTTAAATCTAATATATAAAATTCTCGTGTCGCAGGTTTCGTTTATAGAAACGTTTCTGAGAAGTCTATAACCCTCAGAAACGGTTTGACCGACTTTAATGAATTTTTTATATATATACATAGATGTAAATTCAATAGGTCTGAGAATAGATTTATAATTCTATATCCGAAAGTATTGAGCCACCCGTTCACCCCAATAAATATTTTTTAATTTCTCGACATTTTTTTTTATTACGTGGCATTAAAAATAAATACAACCCTAAATTTTCACCCTTCTATTACATACCCTTATTTTTCAATAGCGATGTTAATATATATGATAAAAAATTATTCGTATTTTTAATGTTGATTTTAGTTTCGTCTTCCCGACGAGAATCAGCGGCTTCAACGTTTCTTCTCCACTTTCTACTGCATGGTGAATCTAGGTGGATTTATGGGAATGATTATCACACCAGCCTTAAGGAGAAGTGTCATGTGTTTCGGCGGTGACGCCTGCTATGCACTTGGTTTTGGTTTCCCAGCAATACTTGTATTGGTTTCTATTGGTAAGTATTTCATATGTCAATAATAGAGTACCTATTGGCATTTCTGGTTACACATACACTAAACTAATAATGCCACCACGTAGAACTAATTTGCTTAAAATTAACTCACACTTCAGCACCATATAAATAAATAATAAAATACCAATAAATAATTCGAGACATGCCACTAAACAGATTTAAAAAATAACTACACCAATGGCGTTACAAATGCTAAAATAAAAAAGCTGTTACTCTTTGCAAGAATTGGTTGAACATTTAATATTCTGTGTTTATAAAATAATTTAATCATAAACCACTAAGAAGTAGAATTTGAATGCCTCTTGAATATGAGGCAAACATTTATACCTAACACTGTAAATGTTGAAGCAAATAAATTATCTATTACGATACTAAAATCTGTTACAAATGTTGTTATCCAAATGCTGACCTTCATCACTTCATAAATCGTTCAGATACTCATAATGTGAACTAGGTTATATTTACTAAAGAGTAGACAAATATTCAAAATATATTTGTACATATAATTTACTAAGTACTCGTCCCGGCTTCGCACGAGTGTACATTATTATACATATAAAGCTTCCTCTTGAATCACTCTACCTATTGCTAAAAGCTGCATTAAAATCCGTTGCATAGTTTAGAAGATCTAAGCGAACAGACGGGGGAAGCGTCTTCAGCATAAATACAAGTATATTCAACGTGTAACAATTTTTACAAGCAAATGTATACTAGTTTGTTTTCACAAGTTTCGACTTAAAAATGTAAACTGACAATCTATCTAAAATAGCAACACATAAATGTGTTTCTCATTGTTTTTTTTTATGCTACGATGGTGGCAATCAATCATACGGTTCATCTGATGGTAAATGGTTACCGTAGCCTATGAACGCCTGAAACACCAGGGGTATCACGTGCGCGTTGCCGACCATTAAGAAACCTTAATATACCCATTTTGAAAAATTATACAATTATTTTTGTTATGAGACAGCTTTCCGAATGAGCGGTAGATTAAAAAATTGCGATGACTATTCAAAAGTCCTTAAATTAAGTTTATTTGAATAAAGGATGTTTTATTATATTCTAAATAAATAATACAAAAATAACAAAGGTAGTGTCTTTAAGATCCTCCAAGTATGCCAATTGTGCATATTTTTAATTCGCAACTGATTCAAAATTGCTCCATCTTTTAATATTGTATTTGGGTTTTTAGTAATTATAAATGAAAGGACAATCAAGTACAAAAAAAAGATTAATGAGAGTTCACTTTACAAATATTTTATATATAAATTATATTTTTATAAATACTGGCCATTTTGGTTTATTATATTGTTCAATTGTTACCGGAATGCGCTTTCATATCAGCGATTAAACCACTAGAGATTGCTATTTTGAAACAGGGATAATACTCGTATTTCATCTGTGATATTTGTTGAATTATGATTTACATATTTTGAAATCATAATATATTCAAAATTTAATACATGAACGCATGTGAATACTTATACATACGCATCTAATTAATATTAATTTGGTAGGAGTAATAATAGGTAGGTGCAGTTATGCGAATGGGAAGCAGACCTTCTGTTCATATATTTGTAAGTACATAAATACCCAGTAATACCAGAGGATTCTGTAATGGGTTGGAAAATATAAATTATTTGCTTGATGGTAACAGTATTGAACATTTGGGAAAAGCCGCTGTCGGCAGTTTATTTAATTATTTCGTTACATGGCAGGGAATTAGTGTAAAAGAACTATCCACATTGGGACGGTGGAATTTTAATGTAGGTCCGGCAAATGGTACGTAAATGAGAATGGACTCAAACTCTCGGTACCTGAAATTACATTAAGTAATCTGATTAACTAAGTAAAAAGAGTATAATCTCTCAAATCAAATAAAAAATCATTTATTCATGTACGACATTTTAGCAGCTTATGAATGTAAAGTTTTTGTATTAATATTTTTCCCTATCGTCAGTTCAGTATACAGATTTGATTGAAAAGAACTGGCAAGAAACTTAAGTAATCGTCTGCGAATTATTTTATAAACTTACGTACCAGAACAGTTTTGGAGGTGCCAAATGTACTAAATATCAATGAGCGATGTCGTAAAGTATTTCCTTGAATTTCAGTGATATTTGTAGCCGGGAAACCATGGTATCGGATAAAGAAACCCCGTGATAATGTAACATTGAAATTTATTTCGTGTGCGTGGGTAAGTAAATTAAATATACATATAACTATAATTATATGTATACTAATTATTATACTACTATGTTTGTGGTATGTAATGATGTGATACGTGGTACACTCCGTAACCTGACACTGCTTGTGTAGGTACAAATGTAGGTATGGTTTGCTGTATGCTTCACCTACAGATTTTATTCGAATTTATAATTTAATTCGCATGGAATAAATTACTATATAGATACTAATTTTATTTCATGTGAATTAAAATAATACTCACCCGTAATCTAGTTCTATTATGTTTTAGTCTTCAAAATTTCTATTATATACATACGTTATACAGTACATACAGACATAGAACATTTCTTTTATGCTTTTTTTTATGGTGGTAAACAAGTACATGGTCCATCTGATGGTAAGTGGTTACCGCAGCCTATGGACGACTTAAACACCAGGGGTCACGTGCGCGTTACCTACCATTAAGAAACCTTAATACCATTCTTGTAAAACCCCATGCTGTAGTTTCGTGAGATAACATCGGCAGGTAATTCATTCTACTATAGAACTATAGTTTTTAAATTAAATTAAGGTATATTAAGTCCAATAATTATATATTCTTCTAGTCACAGATAAGATAGTTGTTTGTTACATGTCAGTGTTATATTAATATTTTATTACTGAACGTAATTACTGCTATTTTATAGTAGTTCAATAATTATACTAATGTATTATAAAGATGTAAAGTTTCTATGTTTGTTTGTTCGAAGTAATCTCGGATTCCGCTGATAATTTTTGAACAATCTTTCAGTAAAGTAAATTTAAAAAACTAAATTTTTAGTAAAGTATCATCCCGGAGTCCTATAGACTATATAGTAGCAGAGCAGCAATAAAAAAAATGCCAAATAATGGCCATTTTGAGTGCTTTGGCTGCGTAACTTTAACCGTTTACCCTACTTACGCAGTTAATACGTTACGCAAAAGCATTTATGACGGAAATATTCTATTTTAAAAGTTATAGAATAAATCGTCACGACCACATATGTCTATCTTTTAAGTTTAATAACTCACTATAACCATTTTTATGCTATTCAAATATCTTCTGAATTATAATTTTGAACAAAATTGTTCTTTACATCTTTGATTTCAACGTACACTTTAGGATACACCCCAAAATGTCAGTTTTACTATGTCGAACAGTTTAATAGTTACACAAATATTAAGCTCAAGCGGAGCCGGGGCGGGATGCTAGTGTATATGTATAAAGATGGAGACTACTAACAGCGATTGTGTGTTGTGAACAGTTTCCAAGATGTTGTTTTGGCAGATTCTGCCATGCTACCAACAGTTACTGAACTTTAGCGTTTAGTACACATTAATAATATTGAGCTACTCCAGTGTTTATTTCTCGCATTTCTGTGTTAGTTTTAATAGTGGAATGTATTAATGTGAAATTGTATAATTAACCAGCTGTACCCGCGACTTTGTCCGCTTAAAATTTTGCTACCTTACTTTATTTTTGTAAAATAAAAGTAACCTAAGTTACTCCTTATTACATGGGCTACCAGTAATAAAAATCCCGTCAAAATCGGTCCAGCTATTTCAGAGATTAGCCGGAACAAACAGACAGACAAAAATTGTAAAAAATGTTATATAGTGTATGTGCCGTATTTATATTCATATGCATGTAGTAAAAACCGGTTATTTCAATATTACAAACAGACACTCCAATTTTATTAATATGTAAAAATAGATTATGTACTTTATTAACTTACAAATATTTCCTAACCAAATGTTATTTTCTTTTACAATAACAATAGCCAGTAGGTACCTTTTCAGGTGTGAATTTTATACACAGTCAATGAACCAAAACGGACAAGAAATATCTTCTAATCTGCTACACCAAGCGGCTTAAAAGTCGACCTGTACATTAGGATTTGCTCAGCATAACGGGCTGAGTTTAATTCTCTCTTGTTGAAAGCATAATAATATCGAAAGAGTACAATTTCATCGACGGGTTATTGAAAACAAATCCTATTGTGTTTCCTGGAACCTAAAGCGCATTACTGCTTTAGGTCCAGAAATCCTTTCAGATCTCCGAGTAATCCACTGTAGTGTATATTCGGAATAGTGTTATTCAAAAATCTACACTGTATTTATTGAACTCTCGGTTGATAGATGATTTAGGTAAGGTAGGTAAATGTATTTTCAAATGATGAACTGTGTTTTCAAATCATCGATCTAAGGTTATTTTACATAGTTAAGTTGTACATAACAGTGTAAATACATTTAATTATACTGAATCTCTCCATTTATAAACATAATTTAAAAAAAAGGTTATACTAAAAATACGTAAACTTAAATAAATCATTATTTACCAAGTACGACGCGTATATTTTCATAATATATAAATAAAATAGTGTTTCAAGTATATATTTTGTTTAGTATTTACAGTTTAAAGTATCTATTTCGTCATTAGTTAACTTTTGTAGCTAGATTTTGATACGAGTTGTCGTTAAAATTTTGGTCGTATCATTTATATTAATTATTTTATTTATTTTGCTGTATTAGAGGTTACCTTGGTAGAAAAAGAATCTTTCTAGGTCTGTAATAATATATCAAATCAAATAAAAAAATATTTATTCATAGCCAGTAGTTAGTATAGCCACCTTTCAGCCACTTATGAAAGTAAATTTTCTTTCATTGATTTTTTTTTACCTACCGTACAGTTCAGTATACAGATTCAATCCAAAAAACTGGTAAGAAATTTGACTGATTTTTTAAAAACTTACTTTATTTCAATTATGTACTCACCATATAGGTCTATGTCTAACATTAAATGAAAATACTGTGCATTTAAAGCCATTTTATTTACATTCTATACTTATTATGTCTCTAAAGTCTAATAATATATGAAAATCCCGTGCATGAACTACTATTGGCATGTACATTTGCCATTCAAGTAATCGTTTCGGTTTGGTCAATAAATATGATTTAAAAAATGTTTTAAATTTATACAAAGGTACTAGAATTATAGTGCATCCTTTCCCATAAAAGGTCCATTGACTTATTCTAAACGATACTTTGTAACAGCAAGTTTGTTTTTATATCTAGTATTAATGTTATGAATACGGCAATTTCTTGGAAATAAGTGAAGATTTTTGCGTACATATATTCTATATGTACGTAAAAATCTTCACTTATTTCTAGAATGTTTGAGTATATATATTGAAAAGCGACGGTGAAAATATTTGCCTCTTTGAATTTCTCTCTTAATGAGTTAGTAATTAAGTTAAGATTTATTATTATATTGAGTATTTGATCTTTCAGCCACTTATTGTATAAAACTAATTGATATTTAATAATAGAAATATTCCATTGTGTCATATTTTATTAATAATTATTAATGTAATCTATAAGTATTTTCATATCGATGTATAATATGTCAGGTTTAGTAATTAGATAGGCATTAGTAGTGTTATGTATATTTTAGTTCTAGTAATTAATATTACTAACTAAATTAAAACAACGTTTTAATTTACTATGTATATTACTAATGTTTTGACATAGTTTAGTTCGTTGTATATTTTAAATCTAACGTCTGTGATGCTACTTATCATTTTCACCGGGTAGACCCTATAATAAAGGTCGTAAAAGGGATTAGATATTGTTGAATAGACGAGGATCGAACTCAAATACCAGCGCAGCATATTTTTATTTATGACATAGATGTATGTATTTCATAATATTAAAGGATAGTGGCATCAATCATTTCAATAGCCCTTCAATACACATGTAGGACATTATCAATCACCTCTTGGTAAAACGTTGTTGAGAGAGGATTTGTTGAATTACTATCAGTAGAAAAGATAGAAGTTGGTCATGATTGATGTCGCTGAGTGACCCACTGCATTCTGTATACGACCTGTAGCGAAAGATTGACATATTTAGATTAGGCAACTCTATTTTTTTCTAATATTATAAGAAGTGAGTGGCAATTTTATTAGTTTATTTTCTCGAGGAGGATAATCTTGGAAATCTTTTTGACACTTCTTTATGAATATCTTTTCCTCATTCGAAAGGTGATCCAAGCTTTATGCTGCACGATGGTCGGAGTAGCGTAATACAAATTTAAAATTGATTGTGATTTACAGCTTATTGCTATAATAAAAGTTCTTAAATTAATGACGAAATTACTTAAGTAATGAACAGATTTTAACGAAATTTTAATATGTAAGGGTATTCTCTTATAGTTTAAAATTTCGTTATTATTCCTAGGATTATTATCCAAGGTTACAAATTTATGTAAGACTAGCTAGTAAGACTAGCTAGTCTGTTTAACTTTATTTTTCTAAAAATTTTTTATTCTAAATTAAAAGTAGCGTAAGTTACTCCTTATTATATCAGCTACCTGCCAAAAACGTCCCACCAAAATCGGTTCAGCCATTTCAGAGATTAGCCGAGACAAATAGTCAAACAGGTTTACCTAAGGGTCAATAAGAAATATGAGTGTTACATGTATATAGTGTTTTATATGATATATTTATATCTTATATGTATATAGTGTTTTATTTTGGGTTTAAATTAGAATATATTACTTACTTACTTATATTATTACTATAACTCTTCCCATTATACAATACAAATACAAACTGATTTCATTTGCAGTATGCTTTCATGAAGTGGTTACGATGTGACTCCAGGAGCGATCCTATAAAGGAACACTGGTTAGATTATGGTGCTGATAAATATGGCGAGAAACTCATAGCCGATATGAAAATAGTGTTTTCAATATTATATCTGTATCTACCAGTTCCAATATTTTGGTCATTGTTTGACCAGCAGGTTGGTTTTTTATTTCATAAAATGAATGACGTTTATTTCTGATTATGGTATGAAGAATATAGAAAAATATACCGATCCGATATCCAATTACATGTACCGGTATGTGCTCGCAATATATTGCGTATTATAAAAGGTAGCCGAATGGATTAAATATTCGTCTAGGTATTTGCAAGCATATTTCGCGTGCTTTTATAATATATTGGAAGCTTCGTTCAATTAATATTATTGTAACTTTACCTCGTTCATAAATAATTTGTATATTATCAGATTTGTAAAACAGCTACCAATTATAATTGTAAACATACAAAATAATTACGATATTACCGTCAAAATTAAATATTATTCAATTGACACGTTATTGTACATGTCACATTAGAGATCAATAACTGAAATTGAAGGTTGTAAACGTATATCAATGGTAATAGTTAATAATTATTTATACATTTTCTATATCTTCATTACATATTCTATCAATTGTTACACTAATACATTTAAATCTTAACCTTAGTAACTATTTATACATCAATGTTAAAGGAAACTCGTCTTGCGAAATGATGAATTATGCACTTATTATAAGAATCAAAATATATTACATAATTTGTGCGGATTTTTACTATTTAATGAACATTAATGTTTTTTTATAGACATCGTATTATGTATATATTTATATATATATAGACTAAGTCAGAAGTAAAACTTTCATTGTTCGCTTCATTCATTTAATTCCTTGTTCACCTCATTTTTATTTATTTATTCTTTTTTGAACAAATAAAATTGTTGCAGAACATGCGTGCTTAATTATGTATGGTATTATCGCCCAGCTAACCTTAGGGTATAATCAGAAAGCGTTGTAGGAGCGTGACAAATTTACTAATATACATAAATAATTATATAAGATTTATATCATATATAATATGAAGTAATATGAAATATGAAGTAATCAAAATAAGAGTTTTTTGTTAGTTTAAAATAGTTTAATACTTGAAATAAAATAAGTTTATTAGAACTTTTGACATTCAACCAAACCTTTAATGAAACAAGGCATATTTTTAAATTAAATCATCATAGCCTCAACCGACTGCAGCTATATTCTTATCTCTCTCTCTCACCACTAGCATTGTACTTACATATATATATTACAAATGTTATTATATCACTTTTTACGTCTTGATTTTTATTGTTATCATAATTTTTGCACCGCCAATAATTTTTCTCTGTACTACCTATGGTTGCCTGGTAGAAAATACCGCATGGTGTTAAGTCTGCCAAATGTACTGTTACTTTTGTACTGTGTGCATTAAAGTTATGTAAATAAAATATATATATAGTTATATTGTTCAATTGAAATCTGATTCATTTTCAAGGGCTCCAGGTGGACCTTCCAAGCGTCTAGGTTACGTAGTGAAGTTTTTGGTGTTACATTAATGCCTGATCAGCTTCAAGTGATGAATCCGGCGATGGTGCTCTTCATGATGCCGGTGTGCCCGGGAGGCGTGTGGCCGGTGTTGCCCGATTTACCACCGTTACAGAAAATGTTTATAGGTGGCGTGTTAGCCGCATTGGCATTTGTTGCCGCTGGTATTCTACAAATTGGAATAGAGGTATCAATGCATAAAATTCTTACTAATATTATTATTATATAAGTGTAAAAGTTTGTGAGTATGGATGGATAAATATAAGCATATATGTTTTACGCAAAAATTACTACGTGGATTGTGATGAAACTTTACAGGAATATCTTAATAATATTATAATCGCGAACGTTTCTAAGAATGCATGTTTGTGACTCTTTCACGCAAAAACTACTGAACGGATATTGATGGAACTTTGCAGTAATGTAGCTTATGCATCAGAGTAACACAAATGCTATATTTTTTTGTTGACATTTAACTGGTGGGGGTGAAACTGCGGGCATAGCTAGTAGCTTATACATTGGAATCACAGATAGGCTATAAATTCCATGCGGGTGAAATCGCCGGCGCAGCTAGTATCGTAATATAGTTACAATACGCTTCCTAAACATCATATCATGCTCAAAATTGGTTATAATTGTTAATATCAAATTATTTATTTATTTTATTTATTCTTTAAGGATTACCAATATAAGATACAGCAATAAAAATGGCGTGATTCTATATAAGTCTAATGGCCTTATGCTAACTGTTTTATTTATAGGTAACTACAGCATGCTTCAAGTTACAATATTATATTGCTACTATTACTATGATTTATATGTTATGTATAGTATAGTGCACCAATCACATATATAACGCATATTATATAGTAATAAATACAGTACGGTCCGGGTCGTCTTTCACCTATTAGAGGTCCTAGGCACACTAGGATAATGGGGCCCCTATGACCATAGTAAACCACTATTTTGTTAGAATAGTCAAAGTCATTTATGAACATTACTCTTTAGAGATGTATATGGAGATGCCCTACCTTCATAACAAACCAGGCAAAAATATTTTTAAAAAGTCGTTATGTGATTAGGGGTACAAGTTCTTGCTAGACATTTATAAAAAATAATAAAAACTAACAAATTGACCATAGTCGGGAAGCATTTGTTATGACAGATTTTCAGGCGTGAGTAGAGTAGCTATCGGTTATCGTTTGGTTTGGGACTAGACTAGACTAGGGAGCCCCAATCCATTGCGGGGCCTCGGGCACGTGTCCCGTACGCCCAGTGGGGAACAGGGGCCTAAGTAGGGATTTATTCTCCCAACATCCATTCGTACATCCCAATTATGCTAGGATCGCCATATAAGGGAGGTACTCAATAGGCATTTGAGTGTATACTGTTCGTTTAATATTTTAATCTGTACTTAGTTCCTACATCATTACATACATACTCTAATCTATATATATAAATAAAATTGGAGTGTCTGTTAATATTGAAATAACTGTAAACTACACCACTGTGTCTCCATAACCGACGTTGGCAAAATCACCGATCTCTTTTGGTGGAAGCCATTCAAATTAAAAGAAGAAGAGTGCAAACGTCTTTCAGTTATTTCGTTGGTTTTCCTAACCATTATAAGTCAGTGCGCATCCCAACTCCTGCTCCCTTCTTACCAACAAACATCATACGGCAAGAGTCAGCAGGCGCCTCAACTCCTGTATCCGGCCCCTACACATTAATTCCTTCAATATCATCACAATAAGCATGTGATTGTTGTATAGCACAGTGGTTCAGTACCCAGACTTAGACTCAAACTCCCATTGGTTTTAAATCGGGATAGTTGAAATCTGCAGACAACATTGTGTGATATTGACCATACTATACGTTTCGAACGACCATGATATTTGTGAAATTTGGAAATGTTCTTGTGTTATTCATAACTGAACACTGGCTTTGAGTACATCATCATCATCTTAGCCCGGAAGACGTCCACTGCTGAACATAGGCCTCCCCCAAAGATCTCCACGACAATCGGTCCTGCACTGCTCGCATCCAATGCCTTCCAGCGATCTTGACCAGATCGTCGGTCCACCTTGCTGGAGGCCTTCCCACCCTGCGTCTTCCGGTCCGCGGTCGCCACTCGAGGACTTTATTGCCCCAACGGCCATCTGTTCTACGAGCTATAGCCCTGCCCATTGCCACTTCAGTTTTGCAATTCTTCGGGCAATGTCGGTCATTCTGGTTCTTCTGCGGATCTCATCATTTCTGATTCGATCACGCAGAGAAACTCCGAGCATAGCTCCCAATGTCAATATTTTCGCAATAGGTATCTACATGTTTTAATTTACAATATGTTATTGGAATTATTATTACTACGAATACAATTTCATACTCGTATGTCTTTTTAAGAACTTATTTGATTTCTTGCTGTTTAATATAAGTGTTTACGGCTATATCGAACGTAGATCGATGTTCAACTTTGAAGTGAGTAATATCTTTATGAAGCTGGCTGTACTTATCCTGAATCTATGTCTATGACTAGGAATTATTCAACAACTCATTAGCTCAACGTAATAAAAGTACAGACTTTCAGGAGAAGGAGGGGTAAGTTCTTAATGGTAATTGAATTATTAAGCGATTTAACTAACGTAAATGTTACAATGTAGTAAGACTATAACTTTATCTAGTGCGCTTATAGTTCTGATCGTATCTATTATATATAATTTATATAACGCCTCTGGATTTTGTGAACCATCTCTTTTTACGTCTTTTTTTAACGCTTAATAATCAACTTTTATTTAAATATTACAAACGGACACTCCAATTTTATTTATATATATAGATAGGTTTTAACATATTCTGTTGTTTTGAGCGAACAAATATTAATACTGTAAACCAAGCATTAAAGAATATGTTATGAATTCTATACAATAATCATTGTTCATAACTTCTTACTTTGAAAACATGAAATATAAAATAATGTCAATATTTCATTAATTTTCAATTATTTATTTTAATTGTATTTGTATTTCTTGGTCTTCTTGAGCCGGTTGTCTACATACATTTAGTACAAATAGTTTGAAATGAATGTTTTCTCCAATCGTGAGCTGATTTAACGACACTTTCAGTATCGTCCATATGCTATTAGTCCCGTATAATTTTGAAGCGATTAAATTGTTTTTGCGTTGTAAAATGTTCATTTAAGCCTAGCCATTATTCATCGACATATTTACTTATGTATGCACAACAAATAAGTATGAGTAATATAAACACAATTGTGTGAAATAAGATATAAAAAGTTTACGGTTTTGTTGGTCTAGCGGTTTAGCATACACCGCTATTGCGATCGTCACCAGTTCGATTCCTCGCACTGTTCAAACATTTGTATTAATGAGTATTATTTTTTGTATCGGTCTAGCTGTTTTCTATATATATTATATATGTATTTACAAAAAAAATATCTAAGTATTTACATATATCAATTGTCTAGTACAAATAACACAAGCTCTGCTTACTGTGGGTCTAGATGGCGTTGTGTTCATTGTACAGGGGGTTACTTTTTTCAGTTGCGTATCCGGTCGAAGTTTTAAGATCTCCACACATTTATTAATTCCCTAGGAATTTAGAAGCTTTTATATGCCGTATAACTAGCACTGTTATTAGGTAATTTTATTTATTCATTTATTTCAGGCAACTAGGCCCATATTATAAATACCTTATAGACTAACATACATATAATATATTATTTAAAAACTAATACAATAATATTGTCTGTGTGACCACGGCACTGAAGACGGCAATCTGCCACGGTAACGCCGATACACCACACCTTTCGGCCAGTAGTCCTCTTTCATGAAGGTGGTGCTAATGTATTATGTAATACATTTGTGTCTGTTTGTTTCAAGAGGAAATAGATTATTGTCGATGTAGGCTATATAGTTGTATAGGGAGAATTAGGTACCAGGCACTAAGGTGTGATGCCTCCCCTCAATTCACTGCCCAGTAAGCTGCTTGTCGACTGAAATAAACGAGAGCCACTCAGACAAATCTATACAAAGTTTATTTCGGTGAATTAGGCTTTAATTTTTGTACTTGGCTATACGACTTAAAATATGTTAGATATATAAAAATGTAATAAAACATATTTAACAATTATAAAACATATTTTAAATTAATACAAATGGTTAAAATTTCTCGATAACGACTACGATATCTGATATTCCAATAAATTGAATTGGATATATATTCTGGGAATCATTACATGGTATAAAACAGAGTCGCCGTCGCTGTCTGTTCCTATATATGCGTAAATCTTTAAAACTACGTAACGGATTTTGAAGCGGTTTTTTTAATACATAGAGTGATTCTAGAGAAAGTTTTATATATATAATACATATACACTCGAGCAAAGACGGGGCGAGTAGCTAGTTACATAGTATAAAATAAAGTTGCTGTCGCTGTCAGTCCCTATGTATGCTTAAATCTTTAAAACTACGCAATGGCTTTTGAAGCGGTTTTTTTAATAGATAGAGTGATTCTAGAGGAAGGTTTATATATATAATACATGCATGTACACCCGCGCGAAGTCGGGGCGCGTAACTAGTTATAAATAAATAATAGGGGTAGTAAAAATGACCAGGAATCTGAAAAATAAGGAATAAAGAATGGAGACTAGAGACTTTGTACTATAGTTTTTTTATTTTATTACTAATTTTATTGGACGATTTCGGTGGTAAGCGGTTTAGCATTACTTTACTTACGATGGTCGCGGGTTCGTTTCCTCAGACGGTACAAACATTTGTATTCATGAGTATGATTGTTAGTATCGGTCTAGGTATTTTCTATGAATATTATGTTAATATTTACAAAAAAATATCTATGTATTTACATCAGTTATCTAGTACGCATAACACAAGCTTTGCTTACCATGGAACTAGATGGCGCTGTGTCCATTGTCCATGGTTATTTATTTTATTTATATGTAATATTGATAACATTACATTTTGTTACACAGAAGGCACCGATTTATAGCCTACCACAATAGGAATGGTAGGTATCATATTCAAATTAGTAGAGCCAGCGCTACAAAGTCGTACATTTAAATATGCACTTGAACAAAGAGCCTTTGCCTTTTTAAAATCGTCTACAGTACGATTTACTCCAGTTTAACCAATGTAAAATAAAATGCATTATCATTCATTTGTTTTTTTAGAATCCTGGGAATATCTGGTTTTTATTAATATGCAATATAACTGCCAGCATTATTAATTGAAATGTACAAGACGATTCGTAGTAACAATGTTGTAGTTTTATTTTAATACTAGGATTCACTCGCGTGAAATTATACATGTTATCATCATTATTACATAGTATAAAACAAAGACGCTGTCGCTGTCTGTCCCTATGTATGGTTAAATCTTTAAAAATACGCAACGGATTTTGAAGCGGTTTTTTTAATAGATTGAGTGTAATAATAATAACAGAACTATTTATGTTATTAACCGGGTTTTAACATGAATAATTTATTATCCCTAATGTAAATATGATATATATGATACGTGATATATGATGATATATATATGAGAATAATATATTTATCCCTAATGTAAGTATGTATATGAATAGTGTCTTATGTGTGCCACCTACCCTATTCTATGTACACAAGTCCTCTCTTCTAGGTTATCAGTAAGAGATTGCTTTTAGCGATAAGACCGCCTTTTGTTATTGTTTTACTATTTACTGTATTTTCTTATTATTTTATGTGTACACAATAAAGAGTTTTATTATTATTATTATTTTATGGTAAATAAAGGTATTCATCTCTACCCTAAAGACAAAACTAACAGAATCATAAATTTAAATACAAATTTAGAATAACAATACATTCCGATTAGCCAGTACAGTATATAACAATCAATTTATAGTTGTGTACATAGTGGTACAGTAAGTGAGTGTATCTGTATGTCTCGTTTCTATCATCTATACCTATATCGTAAATAATTTCACTTTTGACATACTTGTCAACTATTTTATCCCAACACAATAAGGTAATAGAGTAGAGAAAAGTAGACATGTTCTTAAAACTTTCAGCGCTCAACTTTACAAGTGCCGGTACATCACCACTCTGGGTTGGTTTTATTGAACACATTGGGGTGCCCTGTAGAAATAGCAGTCCAAGGTGAGGGGATAGTACCTATAGAGGAGCATGGTACAGCATTGATGACACCTCTTCCTCATGGCATTCTAAATATTATAGCCAGCTGCCCTGTTAACTGTGCTGGCAGGGTAATGAAGAGACATGCAGTCCGAGAGGAAGTGAGGACTGTGGCCGGCATGGTACCTGTATTTGTTATTAGAATCATTGTTTTTAATTCAATCTGTTCAAATATACCATTATGAATATACAATTATAGCACTGGCGTTCTAAATATTTTTCAAATAATAATATTACAAATCTCATTTCTGCGTACAAAAATATTATAAAATGTGTGAAAAAATCAAACTCTACTAAAAGAATCTCTTAGAAGTAACACGGATTTATTACTATTGAGTTCTATAATCAAGAACGTGACTGGGATATAAAGGAGTTTATTTTATTCATTATTACTACCACCAAGCAGCTTGTTTTCATGTAGCTTGGTATAAATAGTGAATTTGCTTATTACAAATTCAGTTAGTCCACAGAAATAGGATGCCAGTGGGATACAATGAACGTCACAGTGCTGTGATGCCTATTGTAGCCTTCTAGAACATACATTCTGTCATGTGTATGGACTGTCGGCATATAACATTTCATTTGTACAAAATACGGAAACATAACCGTAGACTGATTTTGTGCCTGTTAATGTCCAAGTTAAACAGATACCCGATTGTGAAAATTTACAATGGTTTTGTGGAATCCCATTACAACCAGCTGTGCTTTCTTTTTAGACTTTTATTATCGTAGTACAAAAATATGGTATCATTTTAATGAGTTTATATTTGTATAATTTATGAATTTATATTTATTTTGGCGTTTAAAGTAATATAACTTATTTTGTATTTGACTAAGGGATTTCATCAGCTTTTTATGTCAACTATATTTTAATGAATCTCATCTGTATCTATATATTTTTTGTTGTGTCATTTTGTATACATTTTTATAAAACTAATATATTTTTGTATTTTCAGTTTATAACAGTCGTTATAGGGCAGAATTCAAATGATCACATATCTCTTTACTTTATGGATCCCAATCCATTTACTAAGTCCCTGACAGGGAAGCCAAAGTTGAAGTAAGTTTCATTCGGATTTATTAAATAAACTATGAAAAAGCTAGTAGTTTATTAGTTTAGTCTAGGTTTAAAAGGCAGTGGTTTATTAAACGTACAGCCCAGAGTTCTGAGTTAGCTTTATTGCATTAGGCTGTGTGCGGGCGAGTGGCGTATTTTATTATATTATATCAAAAGTAGTGTCAGAAAGAGAATTTCAATAGCAATTTTTATTCATATTTTTACATATTAAGATTGTGGCTAGAGCCACAATCTTAATATGTAAATATATGAGCCAATCCGTTAGTATTTTTCAAACTATATCTATATAAGATATAGTTTGAAAAATACTAACGAATTGGCTCCAGATAGGCACCGGAGTGGTGACCTTGTACAGATAATCGCAATGTAGAGTAACCTTCTGGCGAAAGTATAAGGCTGGCTATCATAGAATAAATCTTTTGTACATTTTTATGGGACATGTTCAATTCCAGTTTATGGATTTGACATGTCTTGGACTTCATGGACTTTCGTAGTCTTACCCTTCGCCTTTCGTAGTCTTACCCTTCGCCTTTCGTAGTCTTACCTTTAAACATTGTTTCATTCTCAGACTATCTGAAACCTTCTGGATATATAAATATAGATTTCTTGATGCAAGTTATCATTTGCATATAGATTTTTTCATGCAAATTCAAAAATGCTGTTTGGACGTCTAAGTGATCAATCTTTGGATTAAATTTAATCGGATTGATATTACATAGTTTTGGTATGACTGACTCCAAGTGTGTAAAATCTCCAATGACAACTAAAATTAGTTCCAATGAGAGTTCTCATAATACTCTGATCTATAATTTTAAGTCCAAATTTCCGCACTAGGAATTGATACGTAATTCAATATTTTCGTGTGTCACAACTCGACCTGATGTTTCGTTTGCTTTGTCTTATTTATGTTAGTTTTATAGTTGTTACATAGAGAATTTCATTGATTTCAAGCTAAGTGCATTCTAAGACATCTTAAAGGCACAACGCGCAATACTTTAGAATTTAAAAAATAAGATGTAAATACTATTCTTGAGGGATACTCAGATGCAGACTGGGTTCAGATCTTGATCGTAAATCTTATACTTGATACGTGTTCAAGTATGGTTATAACACAATATCATGGGGTAGTTACAAACAGCCTTGCATTTTGCTTTCATCCTCCGTGTTGAAATATGTTAGATTAATTGAAGTTAGTAGAGAAAGGGTGTTTATACAAGCGATAATTAAGGAACTCTTGTGAATGGCGTCCTGCAAGATTGTGATGGACGGTAACAATCAAGCAGCTATGCACCTGCAGCAGACTATTAATTCTGGTCATCACGAGAGGAGCAAACACATTGTCTTGAGGTTCCATTATATTGGAAATAGGATGGACAAATTCAATGTACAGACTCTATACATACCTACACGTGTAAGGGTGGATGATGTTATGACTAAAGCTCTGGGCTGTGTCGAACACGAGGAATTTAATAGACAACTTGATGTGGTTTAATTGTTGCCCACATAATGGGGGAGTGTTGATAGTACAATGCTGAGCATCGTAGATAAAGTCTTTAGTACATTTTTAGACAACATGTCACTTTTGTATCTCAGTAATTTTCTATTGTCAACTAAAATCATTTTAATATTTGAATGCTGCCTGCTGAGGTTTTCTCAAGAGATTGCAGCGTGGGGGTTTTTAAAAAGGGTATATTAAGGTATTAAGGTTTAAGTGTCGGTAACGCGTATGTGACTCCCATGGTGTTTACGGCGTCCATAGGCTACGGTAACTATTTACCATCAGATAGACTGTATGCTTGTTTGCCACTATAGTAGTATAAAAAAATGACTGCTTTAATCTCTATTTTTTTAACTCTTCTTTTTGACCCTAACACTTAGCTCTTATTAATAACAATCTCTCCTTCACATCATTCCTTGCTATTATAATATATGATGTAAATTGGAAAGGGACTGTTTTTTTTATGGATGATAATGGAATGGTGCCCCCGCCTGCGCTAACGGTTTACGCTGGCGGGGCACCAGTGGAGGATAATAAGATGAACATGAGGTCAGGTCAGATAGCCCATCGTGACAAATTAACCAAAAATTTATCAAGATGGTTTCCAGGGAAAACCGCGTGGAGGTCAACCTGACAAGGTACATTGTGGGGTTATGAGTCCACATAACTAACAATCCTCTTCCCTCGAAAAGGGTTTGTTTTTTTTAGTGGATGATATATAATGGAATGGTGTACCCGCCTGCGCTAACGGTTTACGCTGACGAGGCACCAGTGGAGGGTGGTAAGATGCACAGTGGTCAGGTCAGTTAGCCCATCGTGACAAATTAACCAGGAATTTATCACGGTGGTTTCCAGGGGGTTTCTAATAATGGGGTCATGAGTCCACATTACTAATATATGATGTAGGGGGGGGAAAGGAGATTGTTAGTAATGTGGACTCATGACCCCATTACTAGCAATGTACTATGTCAGGTTGACCTCCACGCGGTTCCCCCTGGAAACCATCGTGATAAATTCCTGGTGAATTTACCACGATGGGCTAACTGACCTGACCTCATGCTCATCTTGTCATCCTCCACTGGTGCCCCGCCACCGTAAACCGTTAGCGCAGGCGGGTGCACCGTTCCACTATTATTCACAAAAAAAAATATATGATGTAAATATACTGTAGGTAGGTTTTAAAGGGAACTAAAATAAAATTATGAATTGTTTTGATAATTTTCAGAAGTATATGGAAACCACATAACTATCCGATCTCTGTTCAATCTTTGTTCGTAGTTCGTAAAGAAAATAGAGCTTTGTTTCACGCGTCTGATATTTCTGCTCCATCGTTGCGTTGATTGGTTTCCTTCCAGTAATCCTTATTTATTTTGCTTCTTAATTTATTGTATTACGTCGGCTGTAAATAGACATTAACAGAGAGATTTTCGTTCAGTTCTCTTTCATTTAATAGATATATTATGTAGGTGTCGAGTGTCAAATGTTTTGAGGTGTAACTTTCTTTTATCTTGTATGTTACAAGATAAAAGAAAGTTAGTTTAATCGGCAAATATCAGGAAATGTCCAGTCATCAGTAGGACTTCATTTTAATCAGTAAGACTAATAACATGGAGTATTTAATTCTTACTAAATGCGAGTAAGTCTGTCTATCGCGCTTTCAAATAAAACTACTGAACCGGTAATTGAAATTTGGTGCACAGAAAATTTGACCCTGACGAAGGACATAGACTACTTTTTAAGGGTTGTAAGGGCTGTAAAATGAGGGATGTAAGGTTGTATGGATATATCGTCATTTTTGAAGCTAGAACGATGAAACTGTTTTCATTGGATTTTTTTAGGGTTAGATTATTAAATATTTTCTCTTTATTTGGGCAAGGTTATTCGTCCACGCGGACGAAGTCGCATGCACAGCTAGTGCTTAGATACAGGTTGTACTGGAGTACCTTTCAAATTGCATCGTGTCTTCGTGATTTGAAATATATTTTTTTATGTTTTATTTAATTCTTTTTAGAGTAGTATACCTCGGCGACACTGGGCCTAATAAGAATGTGACGATCTCAATTGAAACAGACAAAAGACTCAGCGATATTTATTACGTCTCTGACGAGCCTGTAGACCACATCGGCGAGTCTGCCTTTATGTGTTTACAACCCGGAAGGTAACTATTTATATATAAACACTAGCTAGAAGGAAACTGCAGTCTTAGTTACGGAGATCCTATTTTACTAAACATTCCCGCAGACTTGCTGTAAAAGCAGTCCCGGACTTAAAATTTTTTCCAAGCAGGTAAAAACTCAAAAACCTTATGACTCCTCCCGTCCTCTACCTTCTCTCTCCTCTGTAAAAATGTCCTACATTTTTACAATACACATATTAACATGCAATTTGTCCAATTACTGTCGCTATGAATAATTGTTATTTTTTTACAGTTATAACTTTATTTTCATATACATTGAACAAAAACAATTTACTTGATATCCGTACGTCAGTAGTCAAGTTGTAAAGATCGTTAATGATGGGTAGGTGTCCTCATTTAGCAAATTCAAAATTGCCACCCCCTAAACTTGCCGTACGGGGCTCGAGTCCTGTATTGCTGCCCCTAGATCCGGGGCTGTGTAAAAGTACAAACTGAACTCAAAATGAATAAAGCAGTGTGCTTGTGCTAAACCACTATATAATGTATATATATATGATATATTATTAAAAATATAACAAATAGATTTTTAATATTATTTACCAAAATGATCTTTTTGACTATGTATCTACGTAGTTATATAATGCAGTATTCTGATGTATCTAAAAACTCAATATACTAACTTAGTTTAAAGCATTGATTTTGAATATATGCCGTGGTACAGGCTATATATATAAGCGTTATGACGTACATACCTATATACTTCATATATATGTATTTGTATAACCCAAAGATAAACCAATAACATGCCTTGATCTCCACCACATAATTAATAAAATTATTTATAAAGCAAATCCGAAAAGCCTTTCAGTTGCCGCAGGCAGCGGCAACAGGAAATTGAAATATCTACGACAGTTCAGTCAAACCGCTAAAGATTCAGAACGTTAAATGTTTTAATATATTCTTATTTGATGAAGAGAAAATATCTTTCTTTATTAACGTTCTTAGTATTAAATAGAAGATTGAATTTCATTCAATAAATTTTTATTAAGGTATGGCTTCTACTTAACATAATTAGGTATTGCTATTTCGAAATGACTTCTTTTTGAATATGAATAACAGTTTAATTTAGTTGATTTTCTTATTTTAAAAGTTATCGCAGCAGCAATAATATAGATATATATCTATACGTATAAATAAAATTGGAGTGTCTGTTTGTAATATTGAAATAACTGTTGTCTACTACTTGCATATGAATATAAATACGGTACATACACCAAAAAAACATTGTTTTCAATTTTTGTCTGTCTATTTGTTCCGGCTAATCTCAAATGGCTGGACCGATTTAAACTCGACTTGTGCAGGTAGCTGATGTAATAAAGAGTAACTTAGGCTACTTTTATTTTAGAAACATAAAATTAAGTTCCTCGCGGACGAAAACGCAGGTACAGCTAGTATATAATATATATAACACTGGCTAACCCGAGTCTTATTTCCTTATTTTTTCCTGTTTTTGGGCATTTTACGGCTCTGAGTATGAAGAAAATACTGGGAGATTGCTAATAGCTTAAATTTTTGATATACAAGTTTTATCAGTTTGACGAAAAATATATTCGATATTTTACAAACACATATTCACCGCAAATATAGCAAAAACAATCGGGAATAATTACACACAATATCTTGTTACCGAAGCCATATCGAAAACAACAATAAAATATATTTCGGTGTCCAATAAAAAACGCAAATCTAAGTTGAACATAGTAAATGAGGGAAGTTAGCTGTAAAGCTGTAAATCAAAAAGAAAAGCTGTGAGAGAAAAATTGTTGTTATATACAAACAATACGCGTTAATTACCTATCTCCCTCAGTAGGAACGAAATTATACTCGAAGGAAACAATTTTTTTCTTGTTGTCGGGTATTATATACTAAAATATACTTAACAATGCTGACTATAGTAAACCGCAGTAATTGGTTTCTACCACAGGCACTGCCTGGGTTGTAACAATATTGAATCAATTTATTTTCACAATTATAATGTAGTACAAAAATATTAAGTATATAAAGTTTCGGGGTTCGACTGACTATCTACATTATTGTGATTGATTCTATCTACCATTGGAACAGGAGTAATATTTTCATGACATTGGAATAGAGTTAAAGCATATGGGTTTTAATCCAATGCTTGTGGACTGGTCTGTTCGGGTTACGAACACTGATTAGACTATTTGCTTAATAATTAATATAAAATCTGTATTATTGTAAACATGTACAACGTTTATTTGAAAAAAAATACGAGCTAAGTGCCTTATCAGTTCTTCTGATCTTGAAATAATTCCTAACTAACAGTAGTATTGACATATGATAAGAGTCTGTAATAGATTTTGAATTTTGAATAGTTTACAACATTCAATTTCATTTCTTAGGTTTAAATGGCATGCGGAAAGTGCTGGTGGAGAGTTATTCGGTTCCGGTGAAGGATTTCTCAGGGCCGGTGGAGTATATGTTTTGTGTCTACGGGAGAGACTCGGTAGGCTCGATGCAGCAGTACTGCACGCCCCTAATCCTCCCAATGAACTTCACTTGGCGTGGATCATACCACAATATCTCCTCGTGTCTGTTGCGGAAATCATGTTCGCTGTGTCGGGCTTAGAATTTTCATTTACTCAAGTAAGTTTGTAATAAATATTTATTTATTTAAATTTTCACCAGTGCACAGTTTGATACAGTTCTGACTACTAAACTACCGTGAGCTGTATATCAGCAGTCAGTTCCTTCTGAAAACAAGGATTACAGTTTTGATTACAAGTAATTCATGAGTATGATTGTTTGTATCGGTCTTGGTGTTTTCTATGTATAATATGTATGTATTTACCAGGGATGTTAAGGAGATCAGTAACCGTAACTGAATCCGAAATAAAAGTTTCGGACATTATCGGATAGGGGCAGAGCCTAATTGAGACACGTTATGTAACCATTTTATTAGCTGTTTGTATTTTACTTTTGAAATTCCTTAAAAAAAATATTATCCGTAACCGAAATTATCCGAAACTAACGGATAATCTGAAATAATTTCATATCCGTATCCGGTATTGATTCCTATATCCGAAATCTATCCGTATCCGAAATTTTATATCCATAATATCCCTGGTATTTACGACAAAAGATCTGTGTATTTGTATCAGTTATCTAGTACCCATAACATAAGCTTTAGCTAGCTCAACTTGGGTCTAGATGGCGCTATGTAATTGTACTAACATTATTATTATTATATTAGTAGGTACGGCCGATGTTACTACATACATTAATAAACCTTTAGAATATACTTGAAGAATGTACGTATATTTTTGCGAATCTCCGAAAATAGTAGATAAATATTAACAAATTCGCCTGCTGGCTGATGATGGATGTGGGTATATAAGAAATGTTAATAATTTTAATTTACGCCCTATTTTCAATGTATATTACATTAAAAGCTTATTTATCCTTTGTAGAGAGAGAAACATGACGTATAGAATGTATATTTAATTCAAAGGAGCCATCAGCCATCACTGTCGACGTCAAGTTACAGACAGGGCTTCATTGCGAGCAATTATAAATTTTCTTTTCACTGCGTTTTCAAGTAAATTTAATCAAAAATATTATCTCATATTTTTTTAACAATTGAAATAGAAAATAAGCTGAATACTGGTGGAATACAGTAATAGGTCATCCATAATTTTAAGGGACTCTCCACGTAGTGATACGTGATATTGTAGTAGGGCGTATTGTATTGATATTGTAGGGCTAGTGGAAAGTGTAAAAAATACTGTAAATGGTGTGACGTAATTAATGGATAGCCCCTTAAAACCCAATACTGGGGGTTTTGGGGTAGGGCTTGAGGGTTGGACAGTGTAAAAATTACAATTAATGGTGCTATGTAATTTCTGAATGGCCTCAAACAGCCCTTTAAAAACCCAATACTGGGGGTATTGTGAAAGTTACTATAAATAGTGTGACGTAATTTCTGCAAAGCCCCCTAACAACTCTTTAAAAAGCCAATACTGGGGGTATTGGTGATGGGCGGGGGATGGAGAGTAAACAATACGGAATATGGTATACCGTAATTTATGGATATCCCCTAACAGCCCTTTAAAAACCCAATACTGGGGGTATTGGAGGAGGGTGGGGGGTGGAGAGTTTAAAAAATACTGTAAATGGTGTAACGAAAATATGAATAGGTCCTTAAATCCCTTTAAACACATGAACAGATTTACAGATACCACAGATAAAATATTTAATATATTTGTGTTCATTATGCATTGCTATCACTGTAGACTACAACGGTTATATACCCGCCACAGAGAAGTTTAACTGAAAACATTTCATAAAGTTATTTGCTTAGCGACTTAAATAACCGGGAGAAAAGTACATTGCAAAGGACTGATTCTCAAAAATTCTACATTTATTTACAGAATTGTTTTCAAAGTGGGCTGTAACTACATCATTATAATATGTTAATTTACTTTTAATTCCGTAAATAAGCATATATCCCTCTTTGTAAATAAATACTATGCGTAAATAATAAATATCTTATATTAATTGTGGTAGGGTTCTTTAGACATGGCCAGGAGAATGACAAAAAAGGTGGTTTGAATAGAAGTATTTGGGGAATTGTTTCTGCCCACCCAATCAATCAATTGTACAACCAACCCTGTCAATCAATCGTATATATATATATATATATATATATATACGTATATATATTTTTTATTTTCTTAATGGCCTCGTATAGTCTTATCACTACGACTGATTTAATCTTATTGTGTTTTTATATTTGAGCCTAAATAAATTAGTGCTGGTTGGTAGTTTGTATTCACACGTTTCGACTTGTAAAATGTGAACTTACAAGGATCGTTTAAAAGAGCAACACACAAGTTTCTTGCTTATTCTTCTTGTGATGAGACAGCTTTCCAAATAAGCGTTAGATTTAAAAAAAATGTTGACTATTCAAAAGCAGTTAAATTAAATTTATTTGAATAAATGATTTTCTATTCTATTCTATTCTTTTCTGGACAATTAACACAGCGCCATCTGGTCCCACGGTAAACAGAGATTGTGTTATGAGTACAAGACAACTGATATTAATATTTAGGTTATTTTGTAAATACATACATGATATACATAGGAAACACCCAGACCGACACAAACAATTATACTCATACAAATGATTGCACCGAGGAATCGAACCCGCGAAGTCAAGCGGTGTGCTAAAACCCCAGACCAACGAGGCCGTCAGGCCGTATATGACTATGAATTTTATTTATTTGGGCGACTAACGAGACATTCACTTTGATTACAATTATTACGTGCAAATAGTTGAGGTACCTGTATAGTGTTGGTTTAATTACTGCTTGCCACGCACGGTCACGTTGCGGAAATTACTTCAGATGCTTGAATGTCGAGTGAATTACAAATTTATTTACTTAAACTTATACATTCACACATAGCACTATTAAACATGAATAAATAACCCTGGACAATCACCACAGTGCCATCTAGCCCTACGGTAAGCAGAGCATGATTTATGTGTACTAGACAACCGATTTAAATACTTAGATATTTTTTTAAATACATACATAGAAAACAGCCAGACCGTTACAAACAATCATGCTCATGAATACAAATATTTGCACCGTGCGAGGAATTACCATTTTTATATGTTTTAATATGTTAATAGACCATTTTTATATGTTAGGACCTAATATTATATCTTATATGTTGAGATAACCTCGGCTCGTAATTCATTTCACAATCTAAGTGTAACGCGGGAGGAAGCTCCTCTGAAACCACAGTATCCATGACCACTATTTAATATATATTCACAAATTTTAGCCGTACCACAGATAATATTATTAATATTACATAGTACTATGGTACCGAAAAACTTTGAAGTAATTGTATATAGTTTTATTTTAATATTAAAATAGTGTAATGAAAAAGCAGTAACTTTATTGAAATTTTAAATACAGGATCATATTAACATCGGTTAATCATACCACGTTACCACCAAAGTTCATGATAACGTGTTTTAATATAATACGTAATAAATAGTAATTTAAAATAATATCATAATTTCATCTGCAATATTTCGATAGTATTATATTATTCATTCAAAATTACCTACTATACGAGCTCGCTAAAATTCGTCAAGCAGAGGGAAGTTGTTTACTTTAATGACTGAAATTATGAATTAAAGAGACAATAGTCATATGTACTTACATTATAAATTTATAAGATAATTTCAAAGAGTAAGTTATGTTATACTAGCTAACTACTCGCCTCGGCTTCGCCCGGTTGTACATGTATTATATATATAAACCTTCCTCTAGAATCACTCTATCTATTTAAAACCGCTTCAAAATCTGTTGCGAAGTTTTAAAGATTTAAGCATACATAGGGACAGACAGCGACAGCGACTTTGTTTTACACTATGTAATAATGATGATGATAATCACAATGCGTATAAAGTAACTTCACTCACAGCTCTCACTGACACTTTGTACGGCTTTTTATTAATATTACGGTGACCAAGAACTATGAAATTTGTAACAAAGTTTATATGAAGAAAGCTTATATTTTTTAATTAATTTATTTATAAAATATATTAAATTTATATAAAATATACCTTAGTATAGTTATTAGTTTTTAAACACGGAAGTTAAACGATGAAACCTTAAAAATATATTAATTATAGTAGGAATTTCACAGCCTCGGTGGTCTAGCGATTTAGCACACATCCTTCCTTCCAATGGTCGCGTTTTCGAATCCTCGCACGGCACAAACATTTCATTCATGAGTATGATTGTTTGTATCGGGTTGAGTTTTCTATGTATAATATGTATGTATTTACAAATAAAAATATATCTATGTATTTGTATTGGTTATCTAGGACCCATAACCTAAGCTTTAGCTAGCTTATCTTGGGACTAGATGGCGCCATGTGAATTGTTTTGAGATTATTATTATTTCGACAACAAGAAATTATTTATATTAAAATAAAAACTTATATTATAAAAGATGGATGTAAAAATGGTACTTAGCTGACTTTACTTTACCGTATATGTCCCATGACTACAATAATCGTATGCAAATAGGTGATAGGAGATTAACTATATGTTACAATATTGTGTAAGATAAATAAAAGCGGCAAAGATAAAACAGAGCGGCCCATAGTAATAAAATAAATAAAGTATCTACTTATTTGTACGTTTTCACAGTAATATGAAGAGATTTTTCTTAAAATTAAATGTAATAAGTTCCCCAGCGCTACCTGCATATCTCATTTCCGCATTTCAAACTGACTTGCACCCGACGTCTGTAGTACGAATGTGCCGTGCTGCCTTGATTTGTCGATTCTTCGTAGCGCTTGAATCTCCGCAATATTTTTCTGTCATTTCCTCTTTACCTACCTATTTCTTGAGTATAGTTTTGTAAGTTTGAATTTAAAAATTAATCTGTATTATTATAAACATGTATATTATTGATTTGAAAAGAATACGAGCTGAGTTTCTTGTCAGTTCTTCTCATCTCGAAATTATTCCGAACTGACGCTAGATTTGACATATCATAAGAGTCAGTTATAGAAATATATTTTGAATTTGAATATGAATTTGTATTTCATTTTACAAAAATAGATTGAAATAGTCTGTAATATGACTAACGGATGCACTAACTAGCATATTACCTATCTGCTTCTGTTCTCCAAAAACTGGATTTTAGTATTATTTATAATTTATTTATTACCTTAAGCCTAGTAAGATAGATATGGAACTGTAAGTCTAGGGAAGTCTTTAGCAAATAATAACAATCTTGGTCCTTGTTTTAGGAGAGAAAACCTCAAACCGGGACCATGACTATTACTATTATATATATTTGTGTATATGTCGTTACCTATGTAGTATATACGTGTATATAGTTTTTTTTTTCAATAGCATATGCTGGTGGTCATTCTATTCTCCCAAATTTGAATTTAAATGAAATTGTATTATTGTAAATATGTACAACATTTAAAAAAAAAACCAGCTGAGTTTCTTTTCAGTTCTTCTCATCTCGAAATCATTCCGAACTGACGGTAGATTTGACATATCATAAGACTCTGAGACCTACATGAATAAAGATATTTTGAATTTGAATTTGAATTGAATTTATAGACTTAGTTCCGGTGGCAACTGCCCCTGGGTCTTCGGGACCCGGTAAAATTCGTTTTATGTTTATTGTTAATTTTTAGGTAGTGTATACCTAGAGTATTTATGATTATGTATTGTGATTGTCTGCAGTATATAAGGCGTTGTGACCGCTACAAAGTTCTTCTATATATGACAACAGCTAACAGTGCATAAAATTTTGTTTGAATGACCTAATGATTTACATCAGAATAGAATAATAATCAATATGACTAAATAAAATATAAAAAAATATAATCTAAACAAATCCAATATACAAGTACACGTCAATGATAGTGTTTTTTTTAAAGTAATATTGTGTATATAGTTTAGAATGTTCTCAGTCATAATGAAAATGCTAATGTATTATAATTTTCAGGCACCGAAAACTATGAAAACTATTACAATAGCGGCATGGTACGTTTCTGTTGCGTTTGGAAATCTTATTGTGATTCTTGTAGCGCAGACAAAGGTATTCGAATCGCGGGTAAGAAGCCTTACATTGCGTTTTGCGTTACGTTAAGATTAAATTCTGTTTGAAAAACCATATTTAATTTAAAATTACGTTGCTTCAGGCTACGGAGTTCTTTGTTTATGCTATGGTGTTAGCCATCGCCATGTTAGTATTTCTTCGGATGGCTAAAGGGTTCCATTCCAGGAGTATAGAAGGGGATGGTTCATCGTCTGAAAGCAGACCTCTAATACATCACAGATCTAAGGTAAAGTAGAGTTATGTAGGGAGAAAATGTTCATTCTTCCCCTACTCTGTTAAGTTTGCTGACTTTAATTCTGAAGGAATTATTCCGTTGCTTAATTGTTTTCGCTACAAGTAGGTATACATTGTCAACTGCTGGACATAGGCCTCCCCCAAAGATTACCACGATGATTGGTCTCGCATCCATCACCTTCCAGCGATCTTGACCAGATCGTCGGAGTCGGGCCTCCTTGCTAGAGGCTTTCCAACGCTGCGTCTTCCGGTCTGTGTTCGCCACTCGAGGACTTTATTGCCCCAACGGCCATCTGTTCTACGAGCTATGTGCCTTGCCCATTGCCACTTCAGTATCGCAATTCTTCTGGATATGTCGTTCACTCTGCTCTCTGGATTTCCTCATTTCTTCGATCACGCAGACTGAACGTCTTCCGGGCTGAGATGTTGATGATGAAGTTGCATTGTTATTTAGTTCCGCAATAAAAATCCACAACAAATACTGACAACATCGAACACACCGTAAATGCTGTAAATCAATACGTAGTAAATTCTATCTACATTAAACAGTCTTGCATCGCTAACAAATTAGTAGTCAATGTTAGTTTACTGCAAGCTTAACCTAAACATTTAATGCTAAATGTTAAATAAATTTGATTTAGTCCTGACATGCATTTGGTTATAATTTATGACCGCCCACGCGACCTACTTTTTTTTTTTTGAACATATAGTGGATAATAACTTTAATGTAAATATGGTAAATGTATATAGTAACTAACCAGTGTCGTTGGCTCTCTGTAGGAAATTTACTAATAATAGTATAATGTATTATGAAAATATAATAAAATAAAAAACCAATTGAAAAAAGAAAAAAAACAGACAAAAGAAACAAAAAGAGAAATGAAAAAAAACTGCAGGAGGCCACAATGTATATTATTCGCGGTGTAATGAAGGCGTGGAAAAATAATAATAGAAAGATAGAATTAAAAAAAAATTGCATAAAAGGGCGTGGACTTTCAGTCTATGGAGATAAGGGCGTAACTAAAAAAAACATATAGTGGATTCCTATACCTAGTCTTATACTTATTAGCCTGGTATAAAGATAAAAGTGCTTCAATCAAAATACATATTGAAAACAACATGTTTCGTGAAATATATTGTTCTGAAATTTCGACATTAGTCGGTCCTCAGTAGAATTGTGAATCTCCATTCCCTTATTTCCGCTCAGTGGTGCAAAAATACTGATTTGATTCGTTATTCGCTTCGTAATGACGAAAGAACCAAAATATTATCTGAAGTTAACACAATATTGCATTAGCCCCATTTTATAGTTTAGTTCAATTCTAGTCGATAACAAAAAAAAAGTATTGTTTCTCAATTTATATTTATTTATTTTAAGCAAATAAATACCCTAAAGTCTAACACACATATGAATTAATATTATAGTACTAATAAGAAATTGTCTGTGTGGTCACGGCTCTGAATACGGCAATGTGCCACGGTAGCGCCGATACGCCACCCCTTTTAGCCAGTAGTCCTCCCTATATGAAGGTGGGCATCATGTGGGGACCCGGGCCTCTAAATATATATATATATGTGTATATGTCTGACTATGTAGTATAGGAAACACCGACATAATACCAAAATATAATCCTAGAGACGACGGTAGGCTTGTCCCCAACCATAACAATAAAGCAATTGCAAAATTAAAAATAAAATATTACAAATTACCTAATAAAACAATGGAATTGGAATAAATGGAATATAGGGACAAAATAAAAATATATTTCGAGCAACATCCTTTTTACAATGTGATAAAGCGCTTATCTTATTCTGTAGAAAAAATATTATACCAGAGGAAGCTAACGACTTTGTCTGCCTAGTATTATTAACTACTTCGAGACTAGTTTCGATCGATTACGCTAAGTTTGAAATGGCTTGAGAAATAATTAATTCTTCATACAAACTTTTATCTTCTATTTCTCGCCGTCTTTAATTTATTCAAAATTTTCCCAAGTCTTTCTTTCTCCGTGATCCAATCCTGTCTCTAAACTAAAAATAATCACATTGTTTTATTTTATTTAAAAGTGATAGAACAGAGGAGGCAGTGTCTGGATTCTCGACTCACCATGTGAATCGCGATAATATTTAATGCCGTTATTGTGAAGAGATGTGGTTATTCTAGCACATGGTCTATTTTGAGTGGATTGGTTTAAACAATCAAATATTCAGACAGACTGGCACAATATTCTATTTATAAACTTACAAATAAATGTCCGCTTCAAATTTAAAATAGCATATACGTTTTATTTGTTGTAAGTGTTTTTTTTTTAATAAATACGTATATTTTATCTAACAAACATTTGTACCGTACTTTAAAAGTAGTTGAATGAACCTGAATAGATATTTAATTATATTGTTCGTAAATTATCTATGTATTGATTTTTTCCATACGCAGGTTGGAATTAAATATTAAAATTTTTAATTATGTGCGTAATAATAGGATTATGAGTGAATCGTATTATCAAGCAGAACTATAATTGTAATGTGTGTGAAACGTAATGTTAAAATGTTAAATTGATACCTGTGTTACGCTATTTAATTTTTGGGGATATAATTCATAACGTGTCACAAGTTTAATTACAATAATCCTGCGAAACGGTTTAACCGATATCTATGAAATATTATATGCATATTCAGTAGGACAGTATGTCTGAGATCGGCTACTACCTATTTTCCATACCCCTAAGTGCTAAAGGGTTGTCCTCCCCTAACAACGTTTTTTATTTTTTTAACTAAGTATATATTTTTTATTGTGACATTAAAAATACAATGCAACATTTTTTTAAAATAAGAATTTGTTATACTCTTATTGAATACTATCGGGTTAAATTGTTTAGTATCATGTCTATTGATACTTGGTTTCAGCATATATGTATCTATATGAAATGAGTATATTATTTTATATAATTGCTTTCGTAAATTGACAATGATAGTGAGATGGAATGGAGACAAATCTTTACTTGTGCAACGTATAGATGTAGTGAAAATTAATCATCGTTATATTCAAATCAAATAAATACTCGTAGATGGGCTACTGAGTAATTACATGCAGTTAATTTAAGTGAAAGGAACATATTCTGTCGGTATGATGGGTCCTATTAGTCTCAGCAAGAAAAAGGATAAGGGCACACATCAATCTTGGAATCCAATTCGGCCAAATAGAACACGTTATCCAAGTTACCTGTTAAATAAAAGCTAAAGAAACTCAGTTTGAACTCAAATCTCATTCAAATATAGTTAAGTTTATTCGTTCATGTGATATGGTATTTATTTGGAAATGTTTAACTCCTATACGACACTCATAATTATTATCAACTTAATATAAAAGTAACATAAACAATAAAACACGCAAGAACAAATACAAAAAACTTTTAAACAAGAATTACAAAATAAAAAAGAAAAGAAGAAATGTTTTTACCATAATGTTTGTAATGTATGAAAATATTGTTTGCGTGTGCGCGTGTGTGTGTTTTAAAGCATCCACCGAAATCAAAAGTGGCAATTCCAAAAACAAACCATTGACTGACAAAACGCCTACTCAATCTAGATAGGCATAACCTCAAAATAATTATAGGGACCATAAGGGCCATTGTCCCATAAACAAACACCTGCACACAATAGGCGCTACAGACAGTTCCCTCTATCGGGGCTGCTTTGAAGCCGAAGAAATGGCTGCTCACGTAACCCTGGAGTGCGTAGCAGTGGCCACACAACGAAAACAAATCCTCGGAATGGTGAGGTCGCTCCGTGAAGCCTGTAAAGACACCAGGAAACTTCTGCGCTTTTGGTAGTCTGGCTCTACACGCACAACGGCCCAAATGAGAGGCTAATTGCGGACACTGAAGTCCAATTTACATTTACAAGCATTCACTGAATAGCTCTCTGATCAGAATAAAGTTGCAGCGGCTGTATGGCTGTAGCGCTGTTTTTCAGCACAAGACGTGTAATAAACTGTAGATGACAAGTACTTATTTCACCGTACCGAGTATCGCTAATGTTTTATTTCTGTCTATCTACTATCTATATATGTTTCCCAAGCTTTATAGTACACCACATTAGCCTTTCTAAAATTCCCTATGTAACATACATAATTTATAACATAAAGAATTTGAATTGTTGACTTAACAAACTTAAATAATATGTATTAAGAAGAAATCACTAGGAAATTTCTAATGAAAAATTAAGTGAGTAAATTTTCAAAACATGTAATTAAAAATTTTAATTCCCAACTATAATATAGAGGCAGTTTTCTAAATGACTCCCTTCAAAATTATCCATATATGGGACGTGGACTTTGTTCAACACTAATCTATGCTAATATAACGAAGTAAAGTTTTTAAGTTTAAGTTGTAGAGGACATTTTCTGGATCACAGAACCTATTTTGAAAAATCTTTTTCGATATAATAATATATATTAATAGCCGTAGTATTTGTGAGTGTCATAATCTGAAATGTTGCAAAACGGAACGGAACGGTGCAGATAGGATCTGAACAGTTTGACAGGACGGAACCTAACGGAACGGAATGGAAGGCAAAATTCATTATTCAAATAAATGCAAATTTAACACTTTTGAATAATCTATGTATCTAATAGTCCTATACCACTAGTAATACTTTTATTGTTTACTTTCATAATAATAACAACAAAATAGAAAATTATGTGCCGCAAATGAAAATACAATTAACTGAACATTCTGTTACTGAATATCTGTAGCGTTGAAATTCTTTTAGTTAATAAAAATTCCATATCGAGCTGTTACTCATATTTCATTGCATTTTCTGTTACATTATAAAAATATTAATTAAAAGAGTTTCAGGCATGTATAGTACCTATTATATTATATCGCATATACATATGGAAAAGTAAAGTTCGATTACAATGTATAACGAAAAATAATGACAACATGTAGGATTCCCAAAAAAGAAGTCATTACCTACACAAAATAGTTTGTTATTGATTAGTATTATTATCTTTACATAATATAAAATGAAGTTGATTCAGCTGTCTGTTGGTTTATATGTTTAAAACTGCGCAACGGATTTAATGCAGTTTTTAGCAATAGTAAGACTGATTCAAGAGGATGGTTTATATGTATAATACGTACATGTACACCTGTGCAAAGCCCTGGCGAGTATCTATTATATATAAACTGTAGTTAAGTAATAAATGTAACATGAAAATGTAATGTAAAAAATAAATGTAACAATATAAATATCATTGCAATAAAAAATTTGTGGTTGTAGGAAAAAGGCCTAATCTCAGCAATAGCGTCGCGCAATCCACAGCCAAATTGTGTTGTTTATCTATTATTAAAGGATATATTGAAAATAGTCATCAAATGGCAACTCATGCTCATTTTATATCCATTATAGTGGGCTGATATTATTTTGCGACTTAATAATTCAAAGAAGAAGTATTAACAAATAAATTGTTGTAATTTTAATTTTGAATTTCAGGTGTTAAACCTGAAATTCAATGAACAATAACTAAAGAATACAAGTAACAATAAGGAATAAGAACGTACTAAATGTATACCTAAATGTAGTAGCTTTAAGGTTTACTAACGATTTATTTTCGTTTTCAAAGTAATGAGATATTTATGTTTTCTTTGATCATTATGATCGTTCTATGTTCATTATCATTATAAACATTGTTCAGTTTTTACAAAAATGTTTTATCATTTATTTTAAAGCTATTCGATTGTGATATTTATACTTACTGATTTACATGAAATCATTACATAGTATAAAACAAAGTCGATTTCGCTATCTGTCCCTATGTAAGCTTAAATAAAAAAACGGATTATGAAGCGGTTTTTTAAGAGATAGAGTGACTCGAGAGGATGGTATTTGTATAATAATACATGTACACTAGTGCGAAGCCGGAGCGAGTAATATAATAAATATTATCCATTACAGACAACGTACCAGAGGAGACATTATTACGTGTTTGTCTTCTCTTTAATTGTATTTTTACCTGTTCAGCATTTACATTAGTCTTCATATATTATGTGAAATATGGCACATAATATATGAAGACTAATGAACTACTAATTAACCATTGTTCTACGTTTCAGGTAATATCAGTCCACTCATTGTCCACTGCGACTACAAGATGTTTCAGTGGTCCTCAGCACAGTGCAGCATCGTGTCTTGGATTGATGGAACGCGCAAGACCGGCGGCTTGGCCGTCTCGTGCTTACGTGCATCTGGCAACACCTAGCACCAGCGAACCAAGAATTACCAGTTTGGCTAAGGACTGATATAAATATTATAATTACCATTGGGTTTCAATCTATCCACATAACACATACATGCGTATAAATTAAGTTTCATTTAAATATACTTACATATGTTTTGAATATTCACAATTTTTTATTCATTAGCATACATTCAAGTGGAAAAATTTGTCTGCTCTCGTAAACGTCGTCTCTAAAACTCGTTTAGTGCGGATTTGGAATATAAAATGGACTGCACTTTCATTTATTTACCATAACGCAGTTGGTTGTCAAACATTTTTGTAACTGTATTCAGACCCATTGTTCCTACATTGTCTATGTGACTACTTAATGCCTAAATAGCTACATAATTATATTAATTAACTTATTATATGTTATGTCATAATTAAATATGTTAAAACTATTTCATCGTCTGTTATTGAAATAAATGTTTATTTATATTACACTTTAGTATATATGTACATGCATATGGTCACGGCTGTAAACGCTGTGGTTAATACAATACTTGACAAGCCACCACAATACGTTGTTTTGCAGCGGAATATTACTGTAAACCAAAAAACACTCGTAGGTAGATAGGTTTGATAGCATTTATTTCATGTCATAGAGAAATATGAATTGATTTATTATTTTCAATTTACAAAGATTTAAACACAGTTTGATGTTTATAATTCTACTCTATAGTTAAATACTGGTAAATAATTACACAATAGATATTACAAAACATTTTACGCGGAAACTGTAAGAAGCTTAATAGCGTACTTTCTTACTATTTCACTGTTCTTATAAGCTACTTGGAAAGTAAAATAACAGAAAGTAAATAACAAGTTAATAATGCATTTCCATACAATGCACTTTTCCCCGCTGTTTAATATTTGAGTGAAGACAAAGTTTCTCCTTTGTTTTTGAGTGAAGTAAGTAGATAGGCACTTTCCGTGCAACGTATTATTAATTTACATTTGGTATTTTGTATATTTTCATAGAATTCTCACAATAAACGTAGTCATTATGTTTACCTATATACCATGGAAAAAAAGTATAATTTCGTAAACTTTATTTTACAATAATATTAGAGAAAATTTGTTATCAGTGTAGTATATATTTCTGTATGGATTAGAATATATACTATATTTAGAAGTAGTAGTAAATAAGTCCAATAAATTTTAATGTAAACCATGATGTGAAAAATTCAGAAATAAATTACATACATTTAAGTTGACGGGAAAGGGATGTAAAAATAAAAAACAGGTTGAGAAACGCCTTTTTCAAAATAACTCTATAACGGTAAGATATAATGAAAATAAGTTTACATTGAAAGTTGTAGAGAATAAAATTCTGCACAAAACTGGTTCTCTTCATTTTTTTTATTATCAGTAAAATTTAAGTTAAGGCTAAATAATAGCAATTTAGCCTTAACTTAAATTTTACTGAACTATAAAGGATAGTGCATTTTTTAAACACTTATTTCTTTGAAGCGTGAATTCTGTCATGGTGACCGTCACTTAAAAGGGACAAAGAAAAGGCGAAACAAAAGAACGATACGTTTCACAGTTGAATAGGTTTTGCTTACAGCATATCTTATCTGTGCTTGCAGACTCACAATAGAGAATTACCTGCAAAGGGAATTTAAATATAAAACTAGTAAAACGCATTTAATTAAACTGCATTACAGAAATAACACTGAATGTGATCCTTCCTTCCTTCCTCGTATTATCAATACGAAAGTAACTCAGTCTGTCTGTCTCGCGTTCACAACAAAACTATTTATTTATATGAATTCGGTACACAGATAAACTAGACCCTAAGAATGGAAATAGGTATTTTTATTTACATGGGATAAATGGGTTGTAAGGGGTTGAAAGGTGAGATGCAAGAATCATTATTTTTGAGGCTGGGAGCTTAAAACTGATTTTTTCAGGCTGTTAATTGAGTTGTATAGATATTCATCATTTTTGAAACCAGAAAGATGAAACTCTTTTATTTGGCTTTAATATTAGATTATTAAATATTTTTCATTATTTTGGTCAACGTCACTATTTTACGCAGACGAAGCCGCGGGCATAGTAAGTAAGGTGTAAAAATACAAATTTTATTAATTGAATTTTGTAGAAAAAGATAAAATATATAAAGAATAATATGATATAAAATAAAATAAATCATGTAGTTTTACAATCTACCAATAGATGCTGAGTTGTATGGAAATTCAATATTTTTAAACTAGAAAGATGGAACTCTTTTATTTGGCTTAAATATTAGATTATTAAATATTTTTCATTATTTTGGTCAACGTCACTATTTTACGCAAACGAAGCCGCGAGCATATTAAGTAAGGTGGAAAAATACAAATTTTATGAATTGAATTTTGTAGAAAAAGATAAAATATATAAAGAATAATATAATATAAAATAAAATAAATAGTGATAGTTTTACAATCTGCCAATAGATGCATGTATAGGATATTAATTATCCTATTAATTTCTCAAAGCCCTAAGATATACGTAGGCAGCCTGTTTTCCCGTTCGTGTAGGCACTATATATTCGTTCTTTAATATTATAAAATTGACTATTGATAGAAATCTAACGCTCAAATTAATTAAAAGAGTAATAATTCGAGAGATCGAAAGCTACTCTATGGAAGGCACAAAGACAGCGCGTGCCGTATTCTACCCACTTTCATAGATTACAGATGCTTGTTAAACGTTAGTAGGTTTCAGTCCTCCTATAAATTTAATTTAACGTACTTTCATTTTCTTATCATTGATTTCTTAAAGATGGATACAATAATAAGTGCTTGTGTAGCATCTGAAGGTTATACGATTTTAGTTCTTATCATATATTATAATAAAGTAAGTAATTTATATATACTACTATATGATCAATATGGTACCTGTATTAGATTAAGAAATTGTATACAATATAATTCAACAACAACAAACAACCTCCATGTTTAACACGTCAAAGACCGCATGCCCACCGGTCGGTCACTCCGCAAGGAAAGTAAATTTACACGTTAGGACCGAGTGATCACCGTGGTGACAATTAAAGTGCCCACGGTGATGGGCACTTTAATTGTACTAAAACTAGGGGTTAAATAATGTCTATCTCATATTACTGTAAACTAAAAATATTTTTTAAAAATAATTTACATAATTAACAATTGAACAATGTCGGTTGCCATGTGAGAAATGAGATTTTTCAATGCAATCTTTAACGTGTTTATTAATAATCAGTAAACAATTTACAGCGTTATCGTGTTACAGATATTGCACATTATTGATAGATATTGCACACCGACAACCCAGGACAAATTGTCCTGGAGCCGAAAAATTAGGAGAGCAGACCCCGCATAAAGTGGGACAGAGCTAAGAAGAAGAAGAAGATACATAACACATTAAGAAAATCTTATAGATGAATAAATGCAAACTGATTTACAAATATAGGGGATGCTCGATGTAGCTTTGTTCCAATATGTATATATAGACATACATAATTATACATTTCTAAATAGATACATAACATATGTGTATGAAGAAAATCTTGTAGATGAATAAATGCATACTGATTTCCAAATATAGGGGATGCTGGATGTAACTTTGTTCCAAATATATGTATGTATGTATATATAGACATACATAAATATATATTTCTAAATAGATACATAACATATGTGTATTAAGAAAATCTTGTAGATGAATAAATGCATACTGATTTCCAAATATAGGGAATGCTGAATGTAACGTTTCCAAATACTTATATGTATGTATCGCTTGTGGTTAATATAACTAGCGACCGCGAGCGTAGGATGCTTTTAGAATCTTGTTTTCATACATTTTATATACCTATTTCTGTGGTAATGAGTTAAATATTAAACATTACCTTACTTTTCAACTTATTTGGCATTTTTATTACATACTAGCTGCATCGGACGCGCAACTTCCTCTACATCACATTTACATGACTTTTATCATTATTTCGCCCAATTTGCATAATATCTTTTAAAATTATAAGCCTATGTATTATTCTGATATATAAGCTATATTACTGTAAAGTATCGTTAAAATCTGTTCGGTAGTTTTTGCGTGAAAACAAACATCCATCCATACTCACAAACTTTCGCGTTTTTAATAATAATAATAAGATATCTGTAAAAGTTAATGAACAGAATAATATGAATTTACATCTCGTAAAATTTAATTATCTATTAATTTTATAAGTATACATACGAAAACGGTTATTAGTGGCCAATATTGTGTAGTGCTAAGTAGACTTTTCGATGGAAAAGTGGGCCGCACCGACTGGCAACGACCGCAACTGAATAATGCTAATTTCTATCGTATTTCTGAGGCGAATAAAATTAATAAAACTCGCAGGCTAGTTGGAAGGTATTTTAGATCGTCAATGCACGCAACTCTAATGTATAATATACCTGTATTTTGCAGTAACTTTTTATAATTATTATGCGGTATCTTAATCACATTACAAATGCGAAGGTTTGTAAGTATGGATATTTGTTACTCTTTCACGCAAAAAATACTGATCGGATTTTGATGAATATAGCTTATGCATCAGATTTTATGGGCTACATTTTTTATTGATTTTTATATATTGAAATTTAACGCGAGTGAAACCGCGGGCACCGCTAGTAAAATATATAAAAAATCTCTATGTACCTAGTGCATACTTACTAGTAAAAATATAAACTGACTGTACGCTGCAGCATGGTACGGGTGACAGTTTCATTTCACTCCTGAAAGTTTCCGCGGTTTATAAATTATGACAGTATTTCAGCTGTACCACATTCGTAATATATTAAATCATTAATAACTGCAGTAACTTAAATTTAGCAACTGTCTCCAGCTCCATGTTACAGCGCACGTAGTATACCTATAGTCATGTTGATAAAGTAAATTTACACGTGGATAGCTAGCCGTCCGTGGTTTAATCTTTCAAAGGCTGCATTCACTTTGTCGATACGAACTCTGTACCGCATAGGAATTTAATTAACCGCCCTTAGTTCAATTGGAATCAAACGATTTTCAGTGCAGTCTGCTTTGTTTAGTTTATTTGGACAGCTCTAATTGTAAAATTCCTTTATTAACGTTTATACGTACTTGCAGTACGCGCACCTTTTCAGCTTTGGTAGGTATATGATATATATATGTATACTGAATTTTTTAATGACACATAACTAAAACATATAAATAAAAATTATTGACGAAAATTGCAAAAATGTTTTATGGTGTGAGCCACCCTTAACAATTAGTTGTAAATTTTGTATGTGTATTGAGTAGGTCTGAGAATATTCGGAGTATTAAACACGAAACTTCTGACACGAGAATTTTACATATTAGATAATGTTAGTATCAGTTGGCAAAGGATGATATAAATAAAATACCTCAGACATCGTAAGTATATGAATATCGTTGCACCTACGAGTCGTAACCACCTTGATTTTTGGACACCGACGCTTTATGATATGTTCCAAATGCTAAAAGAAGCATAAATATTAAAATTAATGATAATTAATAATGATAATCATTTTCGTATCATGTAAGTATCCAAGTATATTTTTCAGACGAATAACAATTCCATTTTGTAAGATTCAGAAGACTAAGATATTTATCGCTTCATGCACTTTTAAAAGTAGTTCGTAGTTTCACAAGAGTCTATATATTAGTTTGTAAGAATAGAATAGAATAGAATAGAAAATCATTTATTCAAATAAACTTACATTGAAGCACTTTTGAATAGTCATAACATTTTTTTTAATCTACCGCTCATTCGGAATGCTGTCTCATCACAAGAAGAACAAGCAAGAAACTTGTGTGTTGCTCTTTTAAATAATTTATTCTTACTTACAATTTAAGTTTAAGTGTGTGAATACAAACCACCGATTAGCACTAATTCAATTAAATACTCAAAAAGAAAAAAAATATTGAATACATAATAAGATAAGAAGTTCATTAATTAAGATATTCACAGTCATTACCGTGCACCTCCTTTGTACTACGACATTCGCAAGAAACTCAAGTACTCTTGTTCGTTTTAACTGAAAACTCTAATACAAATATATTTTCTAAAATATATTGTACATTGGCTTAATACTTTCCACCTTGCAGCTATACAAAATTTCATTTTATAAACGGTAATGTTAGGTACACTATGAGATGTGTAAAATATAGATGAACCAACAGCCGTATGTAGCAGTACAAAATTTAAACACTACATATGTACTCTCAGTGAACCTTGTAAAAATATAATCTGTAAATAATAGTAAACCTAACTTAGGTTTACTTACGAGAATATTACCATCGCAACGCTCGCCATAGACAGGGAATTTATTCCACACGTTAGAACCTAAGTGGTCTCGGACAGTACGGTTTCAGAGGAGCTTCCCGCTTACACTTAGATTGTGGAATGAATTACCTGCCTAGGTTGTCTTACAAGATTACCGCACGGCGTTTTTAAAGATTTTTTTATACTATTTTTTAATACTAATTTTATTTTATTTTTATAATTAATGGTCGGCAACACGGATATAAAACCTCTTGTGTTTCAGGCGTTACAGTAACTACTTACCATCAGATGGGACGTATGCTTGTTTGACACCATAGTAGTATACAAAAAAAACGTGTGACGATTGTAAACAATTTGTATATATATTTATATAATATGCTTACAGTTATTATCACACTTGAATGTCTAAGTCAAAACCTATCAACACCAGAACTAGATCGAGAATTGCAATATGGAGCTATTTTTCAGAGAGTTGGTTATCCAAAAATCGGAGACATACCGATGCTTAATCGTAAGGTATGGTAAATATTAAATGCCTTACAAAAATACATTTAAGGTCTTATTATAATTTACAAATCAATTACAAAATATTAATTATACACAGCTAAAAGTAAAATATATTATCAAATCAAATCATTTATTTGCAGTATACAGTATTTATCGCGATCGCGGGTTCGATTCCTCGCACGGCGTAAACATTTATATTCATGAGGTATGATTGTTTGTGTCGGTATGGGTGATGTATATATGTAATATATGGACATATGTATTTAGGAAAATAATATATCATAGGAATTACAGGCGCATTTATATAGTTAATATAGGTGTTAATTAATTACTATGATTGAATTGAAATTGCGTTATTGAACTACTATTACATTTATTGGTGAGTAAATTCAATTTAACTATCCTGCTGATATGCCGAATTTACTGCAGCATTATTTGATTATTCCTGTAAAGCTTTATGCCATTAGGTACATTACAGAGCAAATTCACCAGAGCGCTCATGGACCGCACGTTGCATATATATATTTGAGTATTTCATTGACATATTCAAGTATATTTATTATTATATCTTTAGTATTATACTAACTTAATTATTTTCTAATGATCTATAGATATTATATACATATATAGATATTTTATAAGCACATGGCGAAATTAGGCCTGAGCTTAAACATCAACCTGCAGATTTTGCCAACCAGAAGAGGAAACGCCACTACACAATTACACATCCTATGTGGTTGTAGCCCTCTGATGCATTAATGAAATATCTCTTTTGGAAAGTATACACTATATCCAGAGGAGATAAAAACCATCGCTCCTAATCTAATATATAATATCCTTCAATTCTTGTCCCTCACGGGTCTAGGTAGCGAGCTTTGAATAAGGGCGAGCACAATAGATGTATACAGGTCGCAGTGTTACAGGTCATAGCACCTGACAGTAGGTCAAACCGTCCCAATAAAAAAATGCACTTTTATTGTGCTTAAATCTCTACCAATTGGATAGACTAGTAATTTATCCAATTGGAATTAGAGTTGTTAGATTTGATTCATTATATCTTTAGTTTTATACCAAGTTAAATATTTTCTAATGTTATTTAATTCTGTATATGCACTTTTATTCTGCTAAATACGTACCGTTTGGATTGATTAGTAGTTTATCCAACTGATTACAGAGTCTGACAGTTGATTCATCATAAGAATGATTTTCTAGATATTCAAAGGTAGCCGCGTATCTATAAGAGAACATCCATATATTGTGAGCATACGCAGGAAGTACGCCCACGAGTACGAGTTTATCCAATTAGTTACAAAGTCTATTTGATTCATCATAAATATGATTTTCTAGATATTCAAAAGTAGTCGCGTATCTATGAGAGCATTGATATATTCAAGTATATTCATTACTATATCTTTAGTTTTATACTAACTTAAATATTTTCTAAAAAACGTTAATTCTAAAAATGCACTTTTATTCTGCTTATATACCTACCTATTGGACAGTCTAGAGTTTATCCAATTGCTTATAGAGTCCATTTGATTCATCATAAGAATGATTTTCTAGATATTCAAAGGTAGCCGCGTATCTATAAGAGAACATCCATATATTGTCAGCATACGCAGGAAGTACGCCCACTATTTGACTGGCGCACTGCTTATGAAAAACCTCGTCATATCCGTGGCACATCCCTTGCATCTGTGAGTTACCGGAGATTGAAACTGTTACGTATCAACTAGATTACATCATACTTACTCGTTTTTTTAAAACTATAGTGGCAAACAAGCATACGGCCCATCTGATGGTAAATGGTTACCGTAGCCTATAAGAACGCCTGAGACACTAGGCGTATTACGTACGCGTTGCCGACCCTTAGGTAACCTTAATATACCATTTTTTTAAAAATCCCATGCTGTAGTCTCGTGAGAAAACCTCGGCAGGTAGTTCATTCTTCAACCTAAGAATGAGCGGGAGGAAGCTTTTCTGTCCGAAACCACTTAGATTCTAACATGTGGGAATGTTGTACTAATAAATAAAGAAAAGAAAGAAAAACATTTATTGACAATCATTATTAACATACATATGCATACACGTACATATATATATATGTACATGTAAAACAATTACAAAAACATATATAATAATTTGTGTACAAAAACATGCATAATATTTATTTGCATGGTTGCCAACATGGCCGACATGGAAATGAGGATATATTATAAAGTAGTCAATTAGAGTACGTACTATTTAATTAACCATTGACCGTGTGTATCGCTAAGTAATGTATTTCCCTTCGCTTCAGAGTACCAGTGAATGAATTGGGAGTGGTACCCGGCCAGAATTATGCCGACCGTGGTACCAACATAATGACAGTAGTGCTTGTAATCATCCATGAGAACTTCAATCAATTTTCCCTGGCTGCCGATATTTCACTACTCAGATTATACGAGGACATCCCATTCAAGTACACCCTAATATAAGCCGATTACGTAAACGCAATGTAACCATGCACCATGTTTGAGAATTAGTAGCGCGGAAACTTGTATAACTAACCACTGAAACGGAAACGCAATAGGAAAATATCATCTGAATATTGAACGGACATGTCATAGTGCCACATTTTATACGAATAGATGTTTATACGTTTATAGCTTGATCTGTATATTTGCTGGTATCGGCATACTCTGTGCTACTCGTGTTTGCAAAAAAACCGATCGCGGTCGATGAAGCAGGAATTTAAACGAGATTGCCTTACTTGTTTGTACTGTGTGTATGTTTGTCTGTGGCGTAGGTTGCTACTATTTGTGTAAACACAGTGTATGTCATTTTTAAAACATATTCAGTTTTGAACTTTTTAAAGTTAACTTCATCTGTAGTTTACTTACACACCGCCATACTTCCGATGGTTTCGGGTTCGATTCCTCGCATGGTACAAACATTTGTTACATGTTTATAATTGTTGTATCGGTCTGGATGTTTTCAAAATAAATCTATGTATTCATATCACATGTCTAGTATCCATAACAAAATATAGAGGTAACTCAGATGGGGACTGGATTGTGCTATGTGAATTGTTCTAAAAAACATTATTATTTTTGTAGTAACTTAAATGAAAACATTAAATTCGTGTTAAGTAACAGGAATTTAATGTTTTCATTTAATTATATTAATAAATTTGTTTATACAGATATTAATTAGTAAATATATTACGAAAGTGGTATAGCTAAAATACTAAGTCATAATTTGTAAATCGCGGCAACTTTGCTACGCGCACATGGTATAAAGCCGTATCTTTCAGGCGGGAGTTGGCCTTCAGCCGCTCTATAAGTCCTTCTGCGGGTTTGGAGTGCCATCTGTACTCGCCCCCCATCGTCCGGTGAAGCTGTAAAGGCCAGCTGCGGCTAACGACATTAGTCTGAAAAAAGACTTAAAATTGTATATTCATATAACGATTTCAGAGCAGCTATGAAACCTATTACGTTGGTGTCACCTGTAGAAAAACTGGATGGATATAAAGCGTTTGTAACCGGGTGGGGTCGATGTGATCGAACGGTAGGTATCTAAATATAATATACTAGCTTAGCGTGCAGTTTCATCCGCGTTAAATTAAAAAAAATATAGCCTATATGTTATTCTGATGCATTAGCCATATTACAGTAAAGTTACATATATATAAAAAAAATTGTTTTAGTGTAGCAATCTACCATCAATCGGAAACAAATTCAGAAGTATCAATCAAAACTCGTGTCACAATGTTAGATACTCCTCCGAAACGGCTTGATCGATTTTTATTAAATTTTATATGCATTTTCAGTAGGTCTGAAAATCGGCTACTATATATATTTATACCCCTAAGTGGTAAGGGTTGTCCACCCGCATTTTAGCTGTCAATTTTTTTATGTTTTACCAAGTGCCATTAAAAATACATACAATTTTCGCCCTTCTAGCATCAGGTCGTAATTTTTTAATAGTAATTTAAATTTATATTTTAAAACAACTTGTGGAGTCAGCTAGTACTACTATATATGTATACTATACGATCGTGTGCTCTATTTTAGTAAGTATTTATGTCGTAGGGAAGGGAGTTGTGTTTGCCTCGTTCGAGCATATATACGCCTGATGAGAAATTGGACCCGATGCTGAGGACGGTAACATTCATGGTGACGACAGCCAACTTGCACTGTGACGCTTACAAACGTGTAAGAAATTTACATATTACTGCTCCCAAATCATTCCCTCGAGAGCTACTTTGCCTTGGACTTTGTTTCCCAAATCGACTATAAAACTGATAGAAAACTTTACAAGATTGTTAAAGTCACAATTGTGTTGAACATGAGTTTTCGTTGGTGTGTTGATAATAGAAGGAGTGCAATTAATGAAAGATTTAATATACGACGAGGTTTGTAATATCTATAATGATGACCTAGGTGGCCTAGCAGTCTAGTACACTGCTTTACGACTGATGGTCACGGGTTCGATTCCTCGCACGGCACAAACAATTGTATTCATAAGTATGATTGTGTTTTCTATGTATAATATGTTTACAAAAAAAAACTATGTATATGTATCAGTTGTCTAGTACCCATAACACAAGCTTTAGCTAGTTTAACTTCTAGTCTAAGATTCACACAGCGCCATCTAGGTCTAGATGGCGCTGTGTGAATTCTCCTGAGATTATTATTATTATTATATACGACAAAATAAAAATAACATATAATAATTATATATAACAACTTTCCAAATCAATAAAATTAGTACGCGAATCAATTTGACGTTTTATCAATATACTATTTAGTAAATGTATTTGTTATATGGCTGTTGTGAATCTAAGGAGGTTGGTAGCCTACAAACAAATTGGTACCTATAATGGATAGGTAAGAGGGAAAAGTTATTTTAGTAATGTGGATATATATTCAATAACCCCATTGTAAGCAAAGTACCTGTGTAACATGTAACAATCTACATGTATGTTAGGTTGACCTCCACACAGTTACCTCTGCAAACCGTGGTGGTAAATTGCCATTTGCCAAGTTTGACTAACTGGCCAGACTTTATGCTCCTTTTATCATTCTCTATTGGTGCCCTGCCAGCGTAATCCATTAACGAAGGCGGGTGCATCATTTCATTATCATCCATAAAAAAACAGATAGGTAAGTAAATCCAATTTGTGTTTTAAACGAACGCTGCATTTAATAGAGCTGTAATTTTATATCTAACCCTCAATAATGAAGACTTTTAGTAGGTACAGCTTTTGAAGCGGCGAGTTAAGAAAATATTGTGTTAGCGTAGGTAGACAGTAAGTAGTCCGTGATATTCTAATATTACCAAGTATAGGTATGATTCCACATCTGAGGGAGACAGTAATGTATACATAAGTCTGTACATGTCATGTAATTATAGAAACACGACCGTTTAAATTGTATTATAAATATTATGTTAGGTTACCTACTCAGTATTAGAAACTAAAACTGTCTATATTTGTGTTAATTTATTTAAAAATATAGTTTAGAATATTCAGCAAACTACATAAAGGAGCGTATAGATCCCATAGGAGTAGATAATGCAAATTGGCTATTACATGTATTAAAAAACTTTACATATTTTACAATATTACATACATTTATCTAAGACAGAGTCGCCGTCGCTATCTGTTCATTTATATCTTACAAATTAGGTAACGGATAGTAATGCAGTTTTCAGAAATAGATAGAGTGATTCAAAAGGAAGGAAATGTGAAAATGAAAATGAAATGAAAAAATGTTTATTTCTTTAAAAACAATTCAGTTACAATAACATAGTATTGGGATGACCTAGTAAGCATAGAAATGCCTGTGTCAGGTACATCCCGCTCTTCCATATATATTGTCATATGTGTTTGTTTTTTTTTTAGATTATTTAAGACATTAGATAACTAATATTATAAACTAAAGCCAAGGTTACTCATTAGTATAGATATGTATAATTCATTTGTGTTATAGAATAGAACAAGCCGACAAATTTTAAAGATTTGTAATTCATTAGTGGGGGGGAAGGGGATTGTTAGTAATGTGGACTAATGATCCCATTGCTAGCAATATACCATGTCAGATCGACCTCCACGCGGTTCCCCCTGGAAACCATCGTGATAAATTCCTCGTGAATTTGTCACGATGGGCTAACTGACCTGACCTCATGTTCGTCTTATCATCCTCACTGGTGCCCCGCCAGCGTAAACCGATAGCGCAGGCGGGTGCACCATTCCATTATCATCCATAAAAAAAAAATTCATTCGTGGAAAGCCAGAACCGATCGCTTGTTAAGTGTACAATGTCGCTTAAATTCATGTATTGTTGTCTGAAAACATCTACGTATAAAGACACGTTTGCGAATACTATCGGTATTTATAGTAAAATCCGGTTAGATCAATCAGTGTTTACATGAAGGTTTATTTGCGCATTTTTAATTAACGGCGTCCGTCGAATGCACGTGTGACGTCTGTAGGGGGCCGGAACTGGGGGGAACAAACACAGGGCCCATGCCCCCGGCGGCAGTTTCAACCGCGGTGGTTCAATTTCAAAAATGGCAAACACACAACTCATCATTTTTGACGCATCGCTGACAACTTGACCGCTGGACAGACAGTTCGATGCGTCGAAAATGAAGATGTAACTGCTAATGAAGCCACAATAATTAACAGCAATACTAATTGGATATATTGTAAGTCATTTTTTTATTGCAACAATGTTCCCCGGAGGTTGGAGGGGAGTGTTAGGGGGAAGGCACTTTTTAGTTTTTGGCACAACTAGCAAAAAATAAGATCCGATGATGTCTGTAGGAATATTTAGAAAAAGGTATGACTTACTATTTTCCTATTGTTTATAAACATATATATATGTAAATTCACGTTTTTCAGCAGTTTCCAGAGGGAACTACGTGGAGGTCAACCAGACATAGTACATAAATTCACCATGAATTTATCACGTTAGTTTCCAAACCACGTGGAGGGCTACCTGATAATACAATGTGGTTCACAATGCTAAAAATCTACTCCCCCAAAACTATATATTATTTTATAATTTTTCTCTTTTTGGCAGCACGAAACATATGTTGGACATGGTATGCTCTGTCTTGGTCCATCTCGACACACGGATTCCATGTGCCCTTGCTTGGCTGTGCCTGGCGCGCCTCTCGTTGTGAACTCTTACTTGGCAGGCCTACTATCCTGGGGCTTCGGTTGCGGTTACAAAAACGATCTACCTCTCATTTATACCGATATACAGAGTTATTTACCGTTAGTATTTTATATACTTATATACGTAGCTACCTATTTTATTTAGTCCTCAAATAAAAATATATCAACATACAGAATTAATGAGATTGTTACATTACTCTAAAGTACCTATATACCTAGTAGTGTCTAATTTATCATACAATTTTATTTGAAATATTGTAATAAGAAAAGTTTGTAAATGGAATTTATCGTGTAATTTTTTTCAGTTGTTTTCATACCTAGATAAGAATTAATATGAATATATTTTTAGGTGGTTATTGTCAAACATTTCGATTTTGCAAAAAATAACAAGATCAGACTTAACGCCATTTTTCGAAACAACAAAAGGATATGTGTTCGTGCAGTGGTTGAAACGAGCTAGAAACCTAATATCATTAAAATTAGAGCCTGGACATAAAGAATTACAAGCACTAAAAATCGATAAGTCGCTTGCAAATTTAAAAGGGACTATTTACGATATCAGAGACTTTATAAACAATGGTATATTTCACCAAGCCAAGCAAGAAATATATAAATTGATAAAGGCCACTTCTGATAGAATGAGGAAATTCGAGACACTGGAATTTACTAAGAACGTGGCGGAACCATTTATTAGTAACGAAACACTCAACAAAATTGGACTGTATTTGAATAACGAAACACTGGCTGATTTGTATGACAGCAAACCAATTAGCGAATCAAATAATTTATAATGGACAATAAATACTGAAAATTACAATAAGAGTATTATATAATTATAACTTATTAATATTATAAACGGAAAAAATTGTGAGTATGGATGTATGTTTGTTACTCTGTCACGCAAAAACTACAGAATGGATTTTGATGAAACTTTACAGGATATAGCTTATACATCAGAATAAAATATAAGGCTATAAATTTCAGGCAGCAGTAAGTAAATTTTTTGATTAATGTCTATTATTTAGAAGTCGTGTATTATCCAGTTCTAGCAAGAGATATTTATGCCTGCTTTTACCTTTAATATATTTTATGTGAATGTCTAAAGTTTAATATACATTAATATTATTTACATACATTTTAATTCTTCTTATATATATAATTATTTTCCTTCATCATTATGTTTGTTATTTTATTTTCTTTTGCCCTGTTTGCATATTACCTCCTGTTCGATATTTAAATCTGTTTCCCTAACGTTACCTTGAAGATATTGCTTTAAGCAATACAGTCGGCTTATTCTAATTATACATTTATTCTTTAATATATTGTTTGTTTTTTCTTTACTGCATGTTACAAATAAAGTATTTTCTGTCTATCTATGTAATTACTTATACAGGTCGAAAAGACTAGGTAGGTACATAATTGAGCGATTACAGGATTAAATAAATATGAAAAGTTCAATGTTTATTTTCAGATTACCGCTTAGTTTCTGGGAAGGTCCAGCTTCATGAATAAACTAATCTATCTCGCTTTTGGCTTACATCCCTTATGACATTGGAAACTTCAAAGATCAGTTTATTTCTAACTCACCATAAAACACTGCTGACAAACCAAGTCAATTCGAGAAACAGCGGTATACTCACCTTCTACCACCTACCACGATTCTAATATTCTAAGAGAAATGTGGGAACTACAAGTATAATGTTTGTCACAGCATTTATCAGTTCACAATGCCTACTAAATAATGCGTTCGAGAACGTTGTCTCAATTATATATTTTTATAAATATATATGTATTAATTTGTTATTGGAATCAAAATACATATTAATGAAAAGCCCATTGTATGTACTTTTAAGATAATCCGATTTTATAACTAAAACTTCTAGATGTTTTATTTTTAGTGACTATGGGTGACCAGTATGTGTAACAACAGAAATATGCAACACATGCAACCATTAGGTTGCAAATAAGCAACACACTAGTGTTGCTTATTTGCTTTTTTACCTAAATCACGTCAAATCAAAAATCATGTATTCATAGAACATTTTCGCCGCTCATGGAAGTAAATTTTTTTGTATTATATTTTTTCCCTACCGTCCAGTTCAGTATAAGAACGGTCAAGAAGCTCAACTGAATTTCTTTTTTTAAAGCCAGTTTATTTACAGTGTATATTTATATAGATATCTATGTCTAACATTAAATGAAAATGCGTAACATTAAATGAAAAACTACTCGTATTGCCATGTACGCTCGTCGTTTAAGTAATCGTTTAATAAGTTTAGGCTTTGTTCAGTACCTATAATTCAAGATGTTTTGAATGTATTTAAATCTTATTCCAGTATAAAAATTTACAATAAAATACCAAAGGATTTACGGTTGGTATCTTATTGTAAAATTTTATACCAATTCCCATAAAAGATATAAATGATAATGCACTACATAACAATTTATATTATACTAGCTTTTAGCCGCGGCTTCGTTCGCATTGAATTAAACATAATTTGTTTTTTTTAAATAAAAAGTATCTTATGTTAATTCTAATACCTCCAAAAATATGTATATATAATTTCAAGATGATCCGTTCAGTAGTTTTTCCTTGAAAGCGTAACAAACATATTTATCATATTATTAAGGATTAAGTATTTCACATTCGCTGCAGGTACTTTTAGTGTCTCCTAATAGTGCCTTGCATTTAATTATGATAGAAAAAATATAACTTTACCAATGAACATATTTGAAGCCAAATGTAAAGATCATAACTGTTATTTTTAATTGTTTCAACAATTTTTATATAGCTTACTTGGGACGGAGTATATCCAAATGCATAACCTAGTATATTGTCTACTCCGTCAAATAATTTAAGTGAATAGTAATAAAAAAAAATAACCAAAGGGAATCGTGGTAATCAGTACAGGTTAATACATTTAATTATACAATTGACTTTTTTACTTGTTATTATGTATATTTCGGAGAAACCAATATTACAATGGAAATTATAAACACAGAAGTTATATTACGTATTTATAAGCAGCATACATTTGGCCCTGCGCCCTTTTGTAAAGTAGAATCTATTGTAATGTAATAAGACATACAGAACCTATATAAATATGTATGTGCAAATGAACACATCCATTCCCTGTTAAATTTTCGTCCCAAGTTGTAGAATTCCACAATCCAGATATTTCAAATAGGTATATTTAGTCATCAACAATAGAAATAGCAACAATGTTTATCCAAATAATCTTAATATAACCAGTTTTGTTGTCAGTTTATGTTTCCGATTCTACCACTCATTTGAAACGATGATATTGAGATTTAAATGAGTCTGTCATCAGAAGAAGAACGAGCAAGAAACTTGAGTTTTAAATAAATGCTGCAATTATAATTGATCTCATTGTGTAGTGAATAAGGGAGTTAGTTAGCTAAATTAAGGACAATAAATGAAACAAGGATTGATCTATGCCTTTATACGTTTATTTGGTTTAAATCCATTGGTACATTATTTTGGAACAGCGAACACTAACATTGATTGATTAAATGTTTTACTGATTACTTCTAGGTATGCGTTTGAAAATGACTTCTTTCTACCTGCCACAAATTTGACTTTAGAAAGAAGTAATTAACAATTACATTATAATATTAACGGCGAATCTACGGAATACATTAGTTATGAATAGAATAATTTTATCAATTGAATATATTAGCTTAATTCTATAACATGAACCTCAGTTTCCAGAATCTCGTAATAGGTTTCTGGAAAACATTTTTATTTTGATGTTATAATAACTAAATATAGTCCATCGACTATTATTATGTTTCAATAATAAAAATAAATTTACAAATTTGAAATAAAATTACAAAATAATAAACACTATAATAGAGCGCCAATTACATTATTTCACCATCAAATTGATGACAATTTGATGCGAACAGTCTTATATATTTTTGATACCTATACTAAAGTAAATTCATTTAAGATATATGGTTCAATACTAGCCTATGATAGAATAATTGCTAAATCACCAATATATAGGTATTAAGAACTACTGATGACACCAATATTATATTACTACGTAGATAAATGGAATGCTATATTTAATTCATATTTAACCGATGACTATATGAAAGAGACATTTTAAAACGCTCTTAGAACGCATTATATGCGTAACTAAATGTACTATGATTACTCATATAATGTAAATAATAAACTATTAAAAGGTTAATAACTACGGTTAATCATACAAGAAGGCAAATTGACAAATGGTAAATTGATATATGTAGATAATGAATATATTTGTTATTTTCATTAGCCTTTGAATAAAAACTCCATGATAAAATAGTACCTACCTACAGAAATAAAAAAAACAATAATACCTAATAAAACAAACATAACATAGATACGAATAATGTAATAGTACATAAACAGAATTATATATTAATAAGAATACCTACTTAATAGAAAAGTTATCAAATGAGCAAAAATCAGTCCAAAAAGTTTTTATATAAGAAAGTAAATAGAGTGGATACTATATAAGATATTGAAATTTTAATTAATACAACAAAAATTGTCTCTTTCAATTATACACATATATTTATATATAATGCATATTATAATGCACATTACACCAGAAAATTTTAATCACTAGATAGATGAATTACATATCTACTACTAATACTACTAAACCCCGTCTTTCCAAACATTATAGGTAAGTACCATAGTCTACTATTGTTATCTTTGGTATGGTTAAAACGTAATACAACATTCAGATATAATATGATTTTATAAGTAGGTAATATACGAATATTACAACAAGTAAATCTTGTATAATTTAAGAACACCCTTTTCGGCGATACATGCGCATCTCGCTAGAGGCAACAGCGATCCATTCGTTCCTAGCAGAATCAAACCAGGTCAGACCCAGGTTGTATTTGCCATTGATGTTCACGTGCTGGCAGTGAGAGAACCACCATCCACCCTCGTAGTTTCCAGCGCAATGGGTGTTAGAAATGTCCCTATCACGATCGATGGCCGAAAATTCCATATGGTTTTGGTACTCGAAAGCATCACTAGCGTTGCCTTTAAAACCGCTCACATCCAATACAAATCCAGTGTCAGCATTTCCAACGGAGAAGTGTTCATATTCAGCATACCAGGCCCCACCGTAAATGTCAATCATGTCAATCCTCATTGAAGAGCAGTTGTCAGCGGTCAACAGATTCATGGACTTCAGACCGAGCCAATATTCAGCGGAGGCGTCACCGAAACCATGGACGTATTCAGCAAACTTCCTATTAAATTCAATGGAACCATTGTATCGCCGTTGAATTAGAGTGCTTCCGTTGCTGCACCAGGTATCGAATGGGGCATGTCCGGGACGAATCAAGTACTTGCCGTCAGAGCCCGTGATGTTTGAGCAATCCTTAGGGAGTTGACTTACCAGGTCCTCGTATTCCCGTTGTACCGGTTGCAACTCCTTTACTTCGCCCATCAATTCATGCAGTGAAATGATTTCGGTCCCGTTGGTATCATTATTATTGGCTTCGCTCTGTAACAAATTGCTCAGTTCAATATTTTTTATGAATGTTTACACTGCAGTGTTGGGTATTTTGTATACATTGTAAAAAGTAAAAGTGTGCTTTTTGTATTTATTAATATTCTTTCATATTAGTAGAAATAGATGTAACAATAGGTATATAAATAAATGACATAAGAGAAAACTTGATGTAATTATTGTTTGTTCTAAGAAATCATTAGCCTAAGAATCATATATCTACTAAGAGGATACATACTTATACAGAGAGGGTATCTAATGATATTATATTTGGAAACAGATATTTAGTTACTAACATTTATATATCATAAGTAGAAAGTAGCCAACTATGATATATGTTTATATATGGATATAATTAATTAAATCATATCACAGTACCAAAGATTTCTTGAAACTTCAAATAAAAATAGTTATTATATTATTCTTACCTTAAGAATATGGTCATTGAGGCGGTAGAAGTGTTGTTTAGACGTAGCCTTCAACTCACAAACGGAGTCGTTAATTTTCTTCATGGTGAGCCTGTCCAACTCGGCGCGGTCGATGGTATTGCTGACGCTGACCGCAATTGCTTTTACAGACTGTCGCAAGTTCTCTTGATCCTCCTTCAAATATGACGATTGAGCATTGAGCTAGAAAATAACATTCATATTATATTCAAATTCGTTAATTACTTCGCTGTACTTCATTTGTTGTAATAGGATAAAGTTTTGTTTATTATAATTTGAAAAAAACTTATCAAAATAAAGTTAATTTCAGCTTCTATTAAGAGTAACACGACCTTAAATTGTAATGTATGTATAAGAAAAAGAAAATCTAATATTGTTATATGAGATGAACGGTTTTTACATCAATGTTGTTACATTCTTTGGGTTTCGATAGACGGACATATACAAACAGATGCCCGCTTCTAAATGTATATTGAATTCAGAATTATTAACGGATATTTTTAATTTGCGTAAATCATAACTATATGTACTTACTTGTGCGAAACTAATATCCAATTTCGAAATTTCCTTCCTGAACTCAGGAATGGTTTTGTCCGCTTTATTCTCAATACTCTCGACATCTTCTCTCAATTCTAACATCGAAGCGTGAACTTTGTTCAAATCAGTCATTTTCTCTGACGTATTTTTGAGTTCATTCCGCAATAAACCCGTTTCAATTTCTAGGAATTCCACTTTAGCAGATAAAAGGTTCCAGTTAGGTTCTTCAATTCGATCCATTCGTCGTTGCACGTCCAGAACCTGTGTCTGCAAGCTCTGCTGCAACTCATCGAGCTGGGTTTGGCTGCGAGCCAAACGAGAAATTTGAGTATGAACCATCTTATTATGTCGGTATTTGTGGGTGTGTTCAGACTTCACTTCTTCAGGATGGGCTTCACGTGGCTCCAGGACCTCGTTGTAGTTGTTAGTGTTCATATCGCCGAGTAATTTTGTTTTGACCTGTAACAATAAATTGTAATTAGAAATATAATTTTAAACAATGTACTTTGCTTTTAAACTGAGTGGCATCTACAGACTTACCCTGTGACCAGGTCAGTTTATTAATGCCAAATGTACTAAAAACTAAGTATAGCCTCAAGAACGAATACGAGACGTGTATAAAAATGCCGGAAATTATGTGTGAAACTGTGAAATTGTGAAACTTGAAAAGTATTATTACCTTTTGACATATACCTACTGCGCCATAATACAGAAATTGCGTCTATGATGTGAAGTGTGAAATATTCTCTAGATGTTTGTTCACAAGAACTATTTCAATATATAACAACTATACCAGAATATAGTATTGATTTTCATCGAACAGTTCAATATATTCAATATATATGCCAACAATATGTTCGGTATGTTTAATAGAATATAGTAATATAGAACATGAAAATGGATCTTAAGACGTTTGAAGTATATATTTTACACGATAATACCACCACTTGTCAAGTCAAGTGTGAAAAGTGCAGCGATTTATCGTAAATGTAGTGATGGCAGACAGTTTAGCCTTGCTAGTTAGGAATCTCATGCGAAATAATCAAGTAGAGTAGAATAGAAAATCATTTATTCAATTAAACTTACTTTGAAGCTCTTTTGAATAGTCATCATATTTTTTTTAATCTACCTATCATTCAAAAAATTCACATCATAAGAAGAATGGGCAAGAAACTTACTTACTTTGTAGCTCTATTAAATAATTTAGTTGTTACTTTACATATTTTAGTCGAAACTTGTGAATACAAACTATCAACTAGCACTAATTCAATTAAATACTCGAATAGAGAAAATAATATATACGTTAATTGATATAAGCATGTATATCACTTAATAATAAATGCTTATCCATTATTATTACCTGCTAATTTTGTACAATGATAACAGCACAAGGCATTATACTCTTGATCAATTAAAGTCAATATCTATCCTATAAATATTGCAATTGTAGCACAACTATAATGAATACTCAATTATATAATTCAATTCAAAATTCAAAGGGTACCTCTCATATACTAAATTGATCTACTTTTACAATGCTATTCTTCTATAATTTTGGTTGTTAAAATAGAAAAAAGAAAGACAAGTAGTTTTTTAATAATACTTGTTTTTCTAAATGTTTATTGTTACATTGTGTTCCGGTTTGTTTTACACAATTAATAAAAAATATGTAGGGTTTTTTTATCAATAACTAATTTTTGATTATTGAACACTAAAATAAACTGTAAAGTCTTATCATACGAGTATCTACAGTTATCACATTCACTAAAGTACCTTCTACATTAAATCACAACAAAAGGCTTTTAGAATTTCATTACCTTGTGCCGGCATAAATCTAATAATAATATTATGCCACATCTACAATTCATTACTATAATTAATTAAAGTGATCTCTGTATTCAATTTTAATAACGTACATCTGTCTTGAAATAACTACTGAATATTAATATTAGGTTAAATGACTGTATTCAATAGCTAAATGGATATATAATGATTGCCTACATTAGATACCCAATACCAATATATCTGTAACCTTTTCCGTCAGCTTTCAAGCTTGTCTGGATATAAAATACGCCATATTAAACTTTTAAGCTATACGTTTAGAGTTTAAAATTGTATATTGTTCATTATACGTCATTTAGAGGGTTCCTAGTCCCCATAAAGCGCGGTGTACAAAGGTTTGCAGAAGAGATGCCATGCGGCGAGGCAGGACGCCCGCCGTGTTTGTACTTGAATAATGCAAGTTTTGCTATTCTCCACTACATTGACAAAAGGAACTCGACTAATGGACCTTGCATGTATTATCAAAATTCAGCAGATAAATTAAAGAAGACTCAAGTACCTATACTTATATATTATTATTTAATTATAAAGACTCTATGTTGTTACATAGTTACCGGGAGCTTATTTTTATAAGCTCCCGGTAACTGATAAAAGGCTTTTAATCTTTTGATTAAAAGCCTTTTATCAGTTATTTTTCAGATTAGCTACTTATATGATAATCTTTACTTTGCGTGTACCTAATATATATATATTTACCTATACTAATTTATATATAGGGATTCATGGATGTCAATGAATGATAAAAGATTTAGGTAATAATCCTTGGCTCCCTTTCGATATATTTCTATAGGTACAGTTAATTATTTTGGTTTGTTCTTATAAAGAATACTAGCTATCCCGGCAAATGTTTTTTTGCCATATAAATTAAAATCGCTATTAAAAATACGGGTTGATGCTAGAAGGGTGAAAATTTAGGGTTATATGTATTTTTAAATCCTAAATAATAATAAAATTATAATATAATATTATGTCGAAAAAAAATATTTAGGGGTGATTATATCCCTTACCACTAAGGGGTATGAATAGATAGTAGCCCATTCTCAGACCTACTGAATATGCATATAAAATTTCATAAAAATCGATTAAGTCATTTGGGAGGAATATGGTATATAAGATATAGGTTTTGATCTTATTATATATTTTGTACATATATTCCATCAAAGCTTTTATAAACAAAATCAATAAAAAGTTAATTTAGAAATTATAAATAAAACAAAACAAATACCGAATGGATATAGGTAATTCGACTAATAGAACAAATGAAGTGCCATAGACAGAAAATTTAATCAGAATTGCATATCCAAGTAGCAATAGGCGAAATACAGAAAGGGACGGGAATAGAGAAAATAAAACAATAGAAGGGTGGCGTCGTTATTGTCGGTTCTCTTGAAGGCGAGCAAAATGAATTTTAAATGAAAGAGGGGTCAAATCAATCTGATGTCGGTGGGAAATCGGGGCGCACTCTGTGCAATAATTGCGTGCCGCTGGGCTTTGTTATGTCAACTAATATTACTAGAAGCCTATAAAAGAAAAAGACAATAAAATGGTTGTTCTATAATTAAGATACAAGTAAAAACGTACGACCGCTTTACTCCCGATGTTCGCAGGTTTGATTCCTCGTACGGTACAAACATTTGTATTCGTGACTATTACTGTCTGTATTGATCTGGAAGTTTTCTATGTATATTATGTATATATTTACAGAAAAAAATATATCTAAGTAGGTATTTATATCAGTACCCATGTCCAGTACTCATAAGACAAACTCTGCGTACTCCTACTATAATATTTCTATATATCCATTAATAAAATTGCAGTTATGAAAATTCTGTGTACTTTATTACTAAAAAGAAATTTTGAATCATTCTTACACTTTTCGTATAATAATTTTATTTCAAAAGCCAAATCGTAATAAAACAACCAACACAAAACAATGACGTGATACTGTAAAATCTTAACTTTCCGCTTTCCACTCAACCTTTTTCGGGGAATATTGTTTAGAGATATTTTGTTCACATAATCAAATTTTGTTTCTTTATGAAGGACGCATGAAAAATTCAGAAAGAATAGGTAACGGATCCGAATTGTTAAAGAGATGAAATGTAAGAAGACAAAGGGAAACAGAAAGGCGGCATGTTAATGAAGATCGTGATGGGTCGCGTCGAGCTCGGGGAATATTCATAGTTGAATGTGTACTGTGCTGTACAATACTGTACACCAGCATCAATATGAGCGCGAAAATGACGTGTACAGAGGGAAACCGGAGCCACCGCCGAGCGGTCGTAACATTTTATATCTAAGGAAACTAAATCCTGTAGAAAGCTTTAGGGGGCCGTTAACACTGGCCTTTCTTCAATAAAGCTAGATAAAATGTTTGCTGTACAATTATGACTGTTTTACTTTCAGATGTCACGTACCAAGCGAAGTTAGCTTGTTAGAAATGTGTATATACCTCAACTTCAGTTATTATTTTATGTTGAATCAAAAGTATTCTGTTTTAATATGCTGCAAATATCTATTATTGAAGTATAGATGCGATGTCAGTGAAAATAAATCCTTTACATTTGTATCTAATCAATATAAATTAAATTATTAGGTACGTATTTATTTAAATATGTACCTATAAATAGTTAAATAGTAGGAATACTTAAATAAAACAATCGCTACGTATTTACATCTTAACTCTGTAGAAGCTACATTTTAACATACTATACCTAGGTAAGTACTGACATACTAAAAGCATTTTGTGATTCCATAACAGTAGAGTAGAGGTAGCTCGTAATATGAAATATATACCTAACCTAACTATGATTTTAGTGAAACTGACGACTATCTCTAACTGCACTCTAAAAAATTGCATGTAGCGTGATCATTTCTCAGGACTTTTCTCATTTTGTAGTAGTTTTAGGTGATAGTCTAAGCTTAAGTATTATAACGGGCTGTCTCAAACCGACACTCCTAAATATGTTGTACCCACTCGAAGGAATTTCTCCACGATATGTTAGCCTACAGGTGTTTTACGAGGCAGAGAAATGGATATAGCAGATCGTTTCCCGCCAACCACTTTATGACCACCATTTTTAAGTCATCTAAGAAGGACAAGAGCTCTGACCAACGACCCATATAAAGCCAATGCTGTTTTGTAAAAGTCAAACCATCCTACTCCTTTAGGCTTCCGACTTTTTAGACTCCTTTAGAGATCCGACCTAAAGCACACCTGTCCCCAGGCAGCGACCTACTATGAACCTCATGGAAATGCTTTAATAAACTCCGGACAGAGATAAGCTGTTGCAGGCACAACTTGGTAAAATGGGTCGCTTCAAGCGAGGGTTGCGATTGCGAAGCACCATCCCGGACTTTGGCCCACCTACTGTCCTGTTCTTTGTACCCATCATTCTGCATAAAGGAAGATCTAAAAAATGCGAGAGTATGAGCAAAAGTTGTCGCAACATTATGGGGTAAATACATTTAGTTGCCATTGAACCGAAAGAAGAAGTAGGTGGTCAACTTCCCTTAAAAACGTATGTTAATAGTCATGTTTACGGAACTAAATGAAAATAACATATTCTTAGCATACTTTAATGACCTGATAAACAAATAGAAAATTGATCCTAAAT